CTGTACACATAACACACACACACATTTAGTATCATCATCATCATCATCATCATGAATGGTCAGCACGATCGTATTTTGGCATTTGGTATGGGGGCCAACATCATCAACATCTTTCATCTAAGTATAGCCAAAGATATGGCAGGTATGAGTTAACTAATCATAGCTTTCATCTTTTTTTTTTTTTTTTGAATTTTCTCATTGCACTCTCACTCATTCAACATTTGATTCGCTTTGGACTCGAAACAAAAAAAAACATCATCGTGTCTGGTGAATCACGAATTGTCATTTTAGCTCATGACTTTCTTAAATTGAATTTTCACCTCTCTCTCTCTCTTCTTATTCTCTCTTAATTTTCATCTCTCTTCTCTTGTTTAATGCTGATGCTGATGCAATCAATTTACCTGGACATACACTGGTCAACATAGATTGTTGGCGCCTGCACGATTCCAATCCAACATGATGATAAACAACCCGTTAGTAGTTGATCATGATGAACATCATGGATAGCTAATAATGGAGCCATGTTATGTTGTTGATAGTGTTATCGATTGCTCCATATGAATTATATGATCATGATCATGGAACATATATCGATCTAGTAATAATAATGGTCATCATCAATATAGCTATATATAATCAATATAGCTCAACATGATAACATTTGTCAACAATGAGAACCAAAAGAAATCAATGAAAGCGAAAATGATTTAGAATGAACATTGTTATTATGACCATCATCATCATCATCATCATATAATCAACGGAAATTTTTAATCTATAAATAGATAAATAAGCTCGTTTTAAAAATCTGTCTGCCTTTTTTTGTTGTTGTTGTTGTTGTTGTTGTTGTTGTTATTGTTACCATCTAATGATATCTCTAATGATCAATCAATCGAGATCGATGTAGATAGATTTGTAGGATAATTTCGTTTGCTAGCTTATCATAATCATGATGGTGATTATCATGAGATGATCATGTAATGTATGAATGACCATATGTCACAAATTTTTATATATAAAGGGTAATGAATCCACAGGTGCTTGATTCAATTATTGATTGAAGCAAAAATAAAAAAAAAAAAAAAATAGCTCATCATCATGTGGCATCACTGCACTGTGAATGCTTGTCACTGCCATTGTTGTTGTTTGGTGTATTTTTGCTTGATTGAAAATAGGAAAAAAAATTGAATTTGGTCACCACCACCACCAACACCACCACCACCACCACCACCACCATTTTTGTAATCAAAAAAAAAAAATGGCAATGAAGCGTTCGATCGCTACCAGTCTCTTGAAAATGAAGCTGAATTGAATAATAATGGTGATGATGATGATGATGATGATGATTGAAAATGGATCATCTTCATTTATTATTATTATTATATAATACATGACTATATGACTATATCACATTAGACAATCACACTATCTTATGTCTTAACTTTCTGTCTTGTTTTTTTTTCTCATTTGAACATTGAAAATCAATTGATTTATCTTTGTTCGTTACTTATCGACACACACACATAAATGCGACATACACACACACACAATGGATGGAAAAATCTGTTAATTAAACTTAGATCTCTCTCTCACTATTTTTCTTCTTCGTGGTATAGTGTGTGTGTGTATGCGTTACATATATTGAATTTAATCCATCAATCGATTCATCGAACCGTCACCGAATCATACCATACCAAATACCAATACTATTACATATGGCAGTGGGCTTCAAGATGAACTCAATCACTCAATGTTGTTGTTCATCTTATTTTTTTTTTTGTTTCTAGTATGCCATTTAGTATGCAAAGCACGATAATAATAAGCACCACAAATATTTCTGGCAATTGAATTAAACACAATTGTCCATTACTGATGATGATGATGATGATGAGCAGCAGCTATAAACTGCATCAATCAAAAAAAAATTCAAATCCGGTAATCGTTTAAATCAATAACAACCGTGGATAGCAAATGGACAATGTGGAAATAGTGATGGTAGTTTATCGGCCCCTAATCAAATTGAATAAAATCCGACCAGTAAACATATATATATATAAAGTGATGAGATTGCCATTTTAGAACAACAACAAGAAAAAAAACATTCCAAATAGCAATGGATTTTTTTTTCACTGAATATAAAATGTGAATTTGTCGAATCAAATTCCATCCATCCATCCATACATACATACATCCAGCTAAGAAAACAAAAGAAACAAGTTGATGATGATAATGGTAAATGATTGTCAAGTGAACAAATGGGAACAACATACAAAACAAAACAAAAAAAAAACAAAAAAAAAAAAAACAGCCACCATTCAAAATCAAATATTCGACAGTAGTCGTCAGTTGTGTGTGTGTATGTTCATTTTACTATATTCAAATTTCGAAAATACACATTCATACAATCATTAAGTTCATTGGATGACTTGTCTCCTCTGTTAATTAAATGTAGAGCAGGCAAGAAAGATTGAATTCATTCGATGGATGGATGAGATAGGTGCATGACACTTGTGAACCCGATATTTCCTTTCACACACACACATACACATACACATACATACACTATATTTGTGAACACATCGCCCCAAATGTAATTTTGTGTTTCCAATCGGTTGTTGTTGACAAAATTATCAACCAACAACCGATCAAACACAATGTTTGATGTTTATAAATCTATTATAATTTATACGATAGGATTAATAGATAACAGAACAGAAAAAAAAATCGTTGAACCAATTTCAATCAGAATAGAATAGATAGTAGTGCTTTGTTTTTTCTTTTTGTTTGTTTTAATTGATTCGGCAGAATTAATGAAATGGCTACTCAATTAACTATAGTTGCATTTGCTATTTAGATCACATCTTTGTTCAATTATTTCTTTCTCTCTCACTCACTCGCTCTCACAAACACAATGGTATCGAGGGTCGGTCAGCCATTGTTTTTTTGATAGTGATGACCAAAAACAACAACAAAAAAAATGGCTACTTGAATCTTGATTATTAATGAATGAACAGACATCCTTTATCATATATATTCATTGTTGTTTGTTGCTCTCATTTCAATCAATGATGAAGCCAAGATGGTCAATCAATTAATCAGAAAAAAAAGAAAAAAAGAAGCCATCTGGATGGCTGTAATTCCATACGTGAATGTTGTTTGTGTGTTTTGGGCCAATTGCTCAACTAAATGATAATGATGATGATGATGGTAGCCATGTAAAGACAATGTGATCACCCAGTGTCAGAGTGTAGGAGTTTTTTTTTACTGGGACAGCTGCAAAAAATCATATAGTTAGATCATAGAGCAAAGAAGAAAAAAAAACACAACATGAACAGAAGCTTATGGATTTTTGTTACAAATTGGATTGCCATACACAATCCACAATAATTGGTCATTGGTCTTTTGTTTTTTTTTTCGTCTCTTCCTTTCACTCTTTCGCTCTCTCTCTCTCTCCCTCTTTCTCAATAGTTACGTAATGCCAGATGTATATGGACCGCAATCAAATTGTTGGAATTGGGCCATCATCATCATCATCATCATCACTACTGTGTATTGTGTTAAGTGTTCAGGGTCCAAACTATTGGCAGTTATGTAGAACTCATTTGGAACTAGATTGCCATACAAATAGGGCAATTAAAATTGTCCTGTAGCAACACAGTACGGCCAAAGTGTGGATTATCATATTAACAAAATTTCGTTTTGGACATTAAAAACAGTTAGACAAATTAACAATTTCAAAGCCCATTAAATGACGACAATCAAACACCGTGTGTGTGTGTGTGTGTGTGTGTGAAATGGAAAAAATAAAGAAAACTACAACTAAATATTCATATCCGAAGATATTTATCAATGGACAGCAATGTATATGGTAGATAGATTGAACAATAAATCAAAAAGAAGGTTTTTTTTCTTGGTGCTAGAGCTATAGCCACAATGAACACCCACATAAAGCTGGTTAAAGATTGATTGTGACCGGGATTTTTTCTTTTTGTATGAAAAGGAAGCAAGAGTCATTTAAAAGTCAATTAGATGGATGGATTGACCATTGTGATTGTGGTGTGTGTGTGTGTTTTGTTTAGATTTGAAGCTTAAGTTGATGAATAGATCAATCACACGGGGGCAGAATGACCACCACAAGCACACATGCCACATCATGTGTGTGTGTGTGCATCGGCATCGACATATTAATCCATCGATCAATTGTGCTGCCATCGTCATCTTGATTACGATGACGACGACGATGATGATGATGATGATGATGTGAATGCCACACTATCTCCACTATAGGTTGGATAAATTGAAAATTATTAATTGGATTCGAATCGAATCAAAAATGCGCACACACACACACACATACATGCATCTCATTTATGGATGTGATCGGACAAAAAGAAAAAAAAATGTTGGGCGCCATTGTCTGCCACTGTTTGATCAAAAACCGAATGACTTTCATTGCATTTCACATTTTAATACATCAATACGTCTTCTCATCCATCATCCATCGTCATCATCATCATCTGAAAGATTTTTGACCGGCTATTCTCTCTCTCTCTCTCTCTCTCTTTCATTCGTTTGTAGCTGGACATTGCACGCGGCAGGCGTAGGTAGTGATTAACAATCGAAACAGTTAGCGAAATACTGGAGTTATATAACATATATATTGGAAAGAGCAATAGAGCACCACCGTTTTTGTATATACAATCGATTGACCAACCGATGATTGTGTGTGTGTGTGTGAACACTCAATACAATTTCATAATCATCATCATTGAAATGAGAATGAGAAAAAAAAATAAACCATTTTTGGCAGATTTCAATTCATCAGCAAAAAATAAATGCAATAATTCATTCATTCATTCATTCATGCAATGGTCAGCCAATAAATATTCGATTAGGCGTCATGTTGAGATTTGGCCCAATCATCACCAATGATGATGATGATGATGTAGAGCATTATAGGTATTGTGTTTGAATTCGTTTAAAAGCAGCATTATAAATACCTTGATGGTCCCGATTACAGAATCGATTTCGACTGCTTCATTGACAGTGAATGTTTCCGATGATCCACCATGTGACAGGAAACAAAGATTGTTGATATTTTCATTGTAATGGCTACTATTGTTTATTGGTGGTAGGGTCTTCGTTGTTGTCGTAATTGAAGCTGTTGTCGTTGTCGAAGTTGAAGCTATTTCTTGCAGTGATTTACCATGCCGATGACTAGTCTGATTAATAGTATTGATTATCGGACCAACAGTTGTGGTGGTAGTGGTGGTGGTGGTGGTGGTGTTGGTCGATGCTTGGCTTGAATTGTTGGAATCCATTGCTTCAAGAATTTGTATAAGTGAGGTGGATGGTTTCTGCAACAAACGATTATTTTTATTATTATTGTCGTTCATTAGTATCGTTGATGTCGGACGACTAGTCAAACGAATTGTAGAATCAAACGTCGGTGACTGTATCGATATGGGCGTTACTTTAGCCACGCCTTTCGATGATGATCCAACAATTCTTGTAGCAGTAGACACTATACGATGATTATTAGAATGACTAAGATGCATCATTGAACGATAAGGATTGGTACGAGAAGATATTGGTGATTGATGTTGTTGACCTGATGCTGATGGTGAATAATACAAACGACGAACGATAGCCGCTGTTGGCGAATGTGTTTGGCCATGAATCGATAATGATGGTGGTGATGGAGAAACAGTGGATGAATGATGTTCATGAATCAAAGCTGAAGCTATCGTAATCTGTTGATGGAACATACAAAACAAACAAAAGAACAGGTGTATAATGATGACCATCGTCCAAGACATTGGAACATATTGTCTTTGAAATATGACCTTGTCACTGTTATTCATTTGGCTGCAGATGTACATCGATCCATTTGATAATGATGACTTATGGTGCCATTCAACATCAACATCAACATCAACATCAATATCATCATCACCACCAGCACCACCACCACCACCATCATCGTCATCATTATCATCAGATTCATTAAGACGCCTTATCAGTATGTCGCTGTTGTTGTTGTCAGTAGCCACAATCATATGATCGTTGGCAATATTGTTTTTTTTTCTTCTCATGTTGGAACTTTTGGTCTACCAAGGATCATGGCTACATACAACAATATGTTAATGTGATATATATTGAATATAATACAAATAACAACAGGGTGGTGGTCAACATTTAAAACAAACAAACAAATGAAGGACAATTCAATGTTGTTTTCTTATTTCAATTGTATTCAGTATGTGTCGGTCAATTTGGGCACCAAAAGTTTATGTTGAAAATTGATTCAGTAGAAAAAAAAATAAACTTTAACAAAATGTTTTGTTATGCAAATCAAATGCTTATTTTGTATTGCATTTTGCATTCAAAACAACGCACACACACACACACATGATATAGACAAAAGCATTGTGTTTGTATTCTTAGAAGAAGATGAAATTTTACAGATGAAAATAAAAACACAAACTACTACGACGACAACGACGACGACGACGACGACGACGACGAGGATGATGATGATGATGATGACAACGAGACAATTTTAATTCACATATATATTCGAATGGTGGTTTTGGTTTGTTTGTACACGTTGTTTGATGATTTCATATAATCATGAGAATTGTAATGAATTGTCGTTCTCAGAATTAAAGAATGAAATGCATATAGAGATGTTTAATGGTGAATGATGACCATTGCCTCGAGGAATGAAAAGCGAAATCTTAAGTCACTGTTGTGATGATGGTAAAAGACATTTCACATTTGATCATTGTCCAAAGTTTAACATGATGGTAAGATTCTTCATTTATTCATTCATTCGATACACATGGCTGATCATTCAACCGTCCATATGAATAAGGTGTAGAACCATAGAAACTAATTACACACACACACACACACACATAGTAAAAAAAAACATCAACCAGAAAGACAAAGGACAAAAGACAGAGGACAAAGGGACACACCCGGACAACAACAAAAAAACATTGAATGATGAAAAACAACAAATTCGTCGTTTGTCGATGATATGAACAACAAGGAATTTTTTTTTTTTTTTTTTTGCAATGAGACAATAACATTTGACAACCATTCGGTATGAATGCTAGTCGTGAACTGACTATGATGGTGATGAGAAATGAGCCACCAAACACACATACATACAGATCAAGTCGATGTTTTCTCTTCTTTTTCCGTTCTGTTGGCTGCATGTGTGTGTGTGTGTGTGCGGAGCCTGTTCTTGGCTCTTTTTTTTTAATTTATACACAATTTCTTTTTCATTCTATTGCTTGCCAGGTTGTCCACAATGTCCATTCCATTCGAATAATAGGGCGATCCAAGATTTAATGAAACAAGGGGTACCATATCCATGTTCATGATAATTATTACTGTGTTTGTGATCCATTTGAATGAGGTTAATTAAATGCATTCCAGATCCATATCGTGGAATTCAATCCAAATACGATATTCATTGGCTGGCTGGTCGGTTGATTATTCACATGTTTGACACACACACACACAAATACAAATACAAATACAAACACAATTGAAATTTCGGGAATCAATCATCCATATATATGTTATACATTTGAATAAGTCATCGGTAATTAAAATCAATCAATATTTATCCATATATAAAAAGCACTATAAATTCAGTAGGAATATGAAAATCGATTAGATTCAATTGTGTAATATAACATTCATTAGTTTACTTACATGATAATCATTATTCGGAAAAAAAATTGGGCCATACTAATGGTGATGATCATCATCATTGATCATTGATCAAAGCAAAGCAAAACACAATAATAGAACACATTTTATTATTCGTTGATGAATGAAACATACATCACTTTCCATCATCAATGGTCATTTTGTTTGTTTGTTTGTTTGTATGAATGGAAAAAAAATCAAATGTTTCAGCTTACATTTTTATTTATTCATTCATTCATTCATTCACCATTTTCTGAATATAGATAATACATACCATTTTGTTCAAAGAAAAAAGAAAAAAAAACACTTGTCAAATGTATCAACGAAAAAAACGGATGAATGAATGAATGAAATGCTGTGATTTGTTGCAATATATGAAATGTGTTGTCGTTATGACATCTTATCATTAAAAAATGTTCACCATGGGGGGATTTAATAATGGCCCATCATCATCATCATTATCATTTGCATCATTGTTCATCTTTTTCTCTTTTTTTGTTGTTGTTGTTGTTGTTGGCCATAATGTCGGATCATCCCTTTCGATTTCAAATTTTTTTATTTTTTTTCACAAACACAAACACTGTGAATCCGACGACGTTTATTAGAGATTTTGATCAATAAAAAACATGTGTTGTTGTTGTTGGATAAAGGTGGCCATCATCATCATCATCATCATTATTTGACAAGCTGTATTCTCTCTACACTATTTTCAGTTTTTAATGTTTATCACAGATAAACAAATGACATAGTGATGATGGAAGAAAAAAAAATTTCAGATGAATACATACACACTGAGAGACAATTTTTTTTTTTTTTTTGTCTATAAAGTGCTTGTGAGAATTTTTCATCTTGCCGGGATTAATAAATGAAAACAAAAAACACACATGGACTTTGAGAAAGCATCATCAGTGTTTTTGTCATCGTTGTCATTGTCATTTGGGTTGTGAAAAATAAAGACTAGCATCAAAGCAGGGTATTTCACATTGATAAATAAGACCTATGAGTGTGTTGACCACTCTTCTTCTTCTTCTTCTGTTTTTTTTTAACCACGAGAATTAATTGGTCAACTTTCGCCATTGCACTGATTATAATTAATATGATGGTAAGATGGTATTTTCGTTGTTGTTGTTGGTCATTTTCATTTTCTCTCACCGATGTTGTGTCTATAAATGGTAATTATTACATATTCTGATTATTATCTCACATATGTGAAACAATTTGTGAATATACAAAACAAGAAGATAGAAAGATAGATTTTGTCGAATCACATTTTCATTTTGGCTGGCCAAAAAAAAAAAAAAACATTCGATTCAATCAGAATATGAACACAGACATCTTGCCATCTAGTGGTGAAGAATCGTACAATTATTACATGGTTTATTATTATTCATGTCAACAGATGGTAGCATGTGTATTTCAAAAAAAAATGATAAATATGTGAATGGTATATTTGAAAATTCTGTATAATTCTGTACCAAAAAAAAAAAAAAAAAAAGATCAGGTAAAAACAAAACAAAACATTCACAACGGTACTTTAGCTCTATATTATATTCAACACATCATCATTCAAGCTCCACTGAATGGATTGATTGATTTTTTTTTCCACCATACCCTTTGGACCGATAGAATACATACATGCATACAATTTATATACAATGTAATGGAATGTTTTTATAGAATTCATTTACATAATGTTTTCAATTGAAATGAAAACAATGGCCATTGTTGTGATGCAAACGATGATGATGATGATGATGATGATAATGGCCATGTCCTTTTTTTTTGTTTGAAATCGATTGAATTTTTATGAAAATACCCACCAATGGCATACTATTACGGGTACCCACCCACTATGTTTATATTAGACACGTTCGATTTGATTCAATGAATTAGTGAATTTGAATAAAGCACACACACACACACATACAGTATACTTGAATCGAATCGGCCAAATAAAGAAAAAAAAAGGGTTAGAGCCAACCAACCAACCAACCAACAACAGCTACATCAAATTCTGGGCCAGAATTTTTTTTTCTTCATCACACTTCAGGCTTGAGAACATCATCATCATCATCATGAAATCATTAAAATAACAAATATGATGGCCATTATGTTCTTTCTCTCTCTCTCACTCTCTGTGTGTGTGTATTCATTCATTGATCATCATTATTACTGTCTCCCTTTTCTTCATTTAATAATAATAATTCTAGTGTGTGTTGTTGCGAAAAACGAAAACGAAAACGAAAAAAAAATTCCAATTGATTTGAATGATGATGATGATGATCACTGTGTGCATTGTTGTTGTTGTTGTTGTTCATTGGAAAGGAATGGAAAAGATAATAATTTGCATAATAGAATCTGAAATGAAAATGTAATGGCATGTTGTTGTTGTTTACTATACCATCGGTTACTATCATTTTTTTTCCATGTTATTATAAATGAATTTGGAAGTAAATTTTGAATGTAGATTGGTTATATATCATATATATTAACTTGATTTGTTTGATTGTTATACGATGGAATCAACAAAAAACAACAACAACAAAAAACAACAATCAAATAGCAGCAATTTGTAGTTTTTTTTTCGTTGGGCCCATATTTATATGTGGTGTGAATATTGCTTGTCGATTTGAACATGATGATGATGATGATGATGATGGACAGATTTTGATGTTTTGTGGGTACCAGCAAGTATAAAATAATTATATCCAGCCATAGACAGATAGAAAAAAAAAAGTTACGATTTTGTTTCTGTGTGTGTGTCGATTTCAATCGGGGGGGAAAAAAAATAGTGGCAAAGATAAAAATATGAATTGAATGTCGGCCAATTTATTCTTCTTCTTCGTCTTTTTTTTCCATTGACCTTCCAGCAATTTATGATGATCAGATTTAATTGATTGATTTGAACTAAATCATCATCATCAGATTAACCCTCTTATTCAGCCGGATTTTATTTCGATGTAATTCATTCATTCATCGATGATTAACCGAATGCCAATCATAAATGGAGAGCAAGAGAGTTAGAGAGAGGAAGTATTGTTGAACACGCACATAAAGAATAATGAATGAATGAATAAAAGGGCAAATGGGCCAATTGACATTGATGAAGATTGAACGATGATGTTTATGGCAAATGGCTAAAAAAAACAAATGATGAAAGGTAAAAAAAGCCAAGCCTCTTGTTTGATTTAGTATAGAAATTTTTTTTTTTTTTTTGGTTCAGAATTGACTCTTTTTGATTTTCGATGATGATGATGATGACGAATTATGATGAATTGGATTCGAATTGCTATCATCATCAGATGATTTGATTTTTTTATACACTGTATTCATCATATATATGTGAATGAAACAAATCGAATGTGTGGCAAATAATTTATTCCATTTTTTTTTTTCTTCTTCTTCTTCTTTTTGTTCTTTCTTCAATCAAATATCTAGTTGGTAAAAAAAAAAACCAATTGGTTTTGGATATATATATTAAAGCCAAAATGAAAAGAATGATTACAATTTATTCATTCATTCATTCATTCATTTACAAATCAATATTTGATGAAATGAGTGGTGTTTTGCCCCATTTCTCTTCGAAAAAAAAAAAAGAAAGAGAGAAAAAGAAAATTTGATAACCAGAATGGATGGATGGATGTTTGTTTCATCATTAATCCAACATACGCGCATAACATCACAATATATATGTGTGTGTGTGTGTGTGTGTGTGTAATTGAGAAGGGAATAAAACACAAACACCACCACCACCACATCACTTCACTCATTTCGATTACAGATAAGTATTGATTTTTTTTTGTTGTTGTTGTTGTTGGCATGAAATTTTAACCCTGTTAATTGGCTTTTCCTGTTTAGCTGTCCCGTTGATCAAAAATTCATGATTCACGTATGATAAATCCATAATCAAATGTCTCTCTCTCTCTCTATCACTCTTTCTGAATGAATGAATCAACCATTTCATGAAATATTCAACAACATTCCTTCAAGTACCAATATCCCATCATAAATCATAATATATATGTGTATGACAGACAAACACCAGATGCATTAATGGCCATGAATCCACCACATCCCAACTATACTTACCCACCGCTATCAACAATCAAGATTAGCTTTCTGCTTGGATGTTTTGTCGTTTCTCTCTCTCTCTCTCTGTCTTTCTCATTCATTTGTTCACACACACACACACACAGGAAAAATTTTCAAAAATACAATAGTTTGATATTGAAAAGAATGGCATTGGAAAAAAAGGCGATGAAAAGAATTGAGATGAATACTATTGTCACACACACACAAATGGATATTGTCGCCAAATTATGTCATAGGGTGGCCATCATTGTGTGTGTGATGTTTATCTGTGGTGATGACCAAATGACCAACTGACCAGTATGGTTTTATTCATTCATTCATTCATTTATTTATTTGTTGGCTCTTTTTCTTATTCAATCATCATGATGAATAAGATATGAAATAATGGCCAATTGTATTTTTGTGATGCTCTAGATCGGCTAACATCCTCAAGTATCATCCATATTTTTTTTTTTCATTGGTAATATGTTCATCATCATCATCATGGTTGGTCATCATCATCATCATCATTCTGCTTCTGGACATCGATTAGGCTTGGCGAATAAAAAAAAAAAAAAAAGTTGTGAATCAAGATAACCGATCAAAAGTATTATAAGAATCTGTAAAGTAAGACTCAGAAAAAGAGAAAAAAAAAGTGGAGAACATACAGCCAACATCTCATTAAGTGATCAACTTAAGGCCATCAACAAAAAAAACAACACATTTTATCATCGTGTGTTTGTGTACATTTCCTCATTGCCACATTGGTTGTTGGTGGTCTTTCCGTTATCATCATTAGATCTGCTGATCAGTTGTGTGATAATCATCATTGTTAGAGCATTGTTTGCTCTTGAAAATGTTAAATTTACCGTATGTATTACTAATATGGATGTTGTTCAACATGGTCAATTCTTTAGCTACCAAAAACACGACAAACAATAATGTTTCCATACAACATCCATCATTGGGTCCAAAACCAAAATTTTATCATACAAATCGTCCATTTTTCAACATTGCTCATATGGTAAACAGTTTAAATGAATTGAATGATTATCTGAATCGTGGAGCCAATGCAATTGAAACGGATGTTTATTTTTCATCAAATGCTACACCTGTTTACACATTTCATGGAAAATCAAATTGTGATTGTTTTCGTCGTTGCGGTGAACGAGAACGTATCGATATTTTTTTTGAAAGAATTCGTTTACTTACAACACCTTCCAGCCCTGTGTTCGACAAGCGACTATTGTTGATCATTTTGGATTTGAAACTATTACGAATTAGTCATTCAGCAAAAGCCTCGGCCGGACAGCAATTGGCATCTTTACTCTTATCTCATCTTTATAACATGACAACACGTGACAATTCGCCTGATGGTTCCCGATTAAGAGCAGTTATCTCTATCTCGCACGTGTTCGATTATGATTTTGTCCTTGGATTTGTCAATGAAATTGAATCGCATGGGCGTGACTTTCTGCTTGCCGACAAAATTGGATGGGATGTGGGCATGAATGATCCATTGTTTGCCATAGAATCAATGTGGAAAAGACTCGATATGGTGGTCAATATATGGCAAGGTGATGGTCGATCCAATTGTATGACACCATTCTATAATCTGGGCCGACTCACACAGATTGTGAAACGACGTGATAATCCATCTTTTTTTGCTATCAAAAACTACATTCGCAAAGTCTATCAATGGACTGTCGATCTAACGGTCAACATTCGTACAGCATTCAGGTAAATCATTCTAATCAATATTATCGATCGATGTAATAATAGAATATTCTGTTCTGATCAGATCGGACGTTGATGCTATCATAACCAATCATCCGGAACGTGTATGCAATGTAATGCGTGAAAGTGAATTTGCTTCCCGATATCGTATGGCCACATATGAAGATTCTCCATGGGAAAGAATCTGGACACGTCCAACACGACCACAAACATCATCAATGTTAACTAAACCAACATTAGGATTGAAATTAGTGAATAGTGCCGGTGACATGCTTGATTCGATGACCAGATTTATGGTTGATGCATTAAGATCACAGACTTTATTACGTTATCTATTTCTTTCGTCATATAAACAACGACAACAACAACAACAACAACAACAATCATACAATTACAATTATTATCGAACCATGGACCATGATGATGATGATGATAATGATGGTAATAATGTTGAATCGAATGATTCAGTCACGACTACAACTACAACGGAACTGGTTATAGCCAGAATAATTCAGTTGTTAATGAAACTCGTGATTGGCCAAAAACATTAGTGTTCAGATAATAGTAATGTGTGCATATCATGGATGAAATTGAATCATCATCATTTTTTGTTTAATTTGCTTGCTTTTATCCAATGGGTTTTTTTTTCGGTTATGAATGGCCATCCATCTATTCATCTATCCAATTATCATCATCATATATCTCATATTATCATCTTGTTATATACCAATTTGTATGTTTCCTTTCCGGAAAAGTCATTCATACCAAAGTAAACATAACACACACACACACAAATATTGTATACATAAAACATTTACACTAAAAACAAACGGACAAAGTTTGACCCAGAGGCATTTGAATTGAGGCTCTTTTTTCTCTCTCTCTCTCTCAATATATATTCTGGTTGCACTTTGGTTTTGTTTGTTTATTTGTAAACAATGGTCAAAATGGTTGTTGTTGTTGTTGTTGGTTTCGTCATCGTATACTGGTGATGATGATGATGATGATGATATGCATCCATTTCCTGTGTAATAATGTTTTCTCTTTGCTGTTGTTGATCTACAATTATTTTGAGCCATATCATTTTGTACCTCTTTTTTATATGAGATTCTATTCCACTCACCAACCACCACTACCACTATTTTTGGCCAATTTAATTTCGGTTTGGATTTCATTGAATTTTTTTTTTTTTTTTTTTTTTGAATTAAATTTGTCAATTGAAAAATAATGAATTCGATTCGATTCAAGTGATGATGATGATGATGATGATGATGATGACCTTCTTCATGATGATTTACTTATAAGGACGGTAACGATCTGGTCACGAATAATAAATTCATTGAATGAAAGATATGTTCACAATGAAAATAATCATAATCATCATCATCATCATTGCTTGTGAGAATTCTTTTCATTCTGTTCATTAGTAGTGCAACACAATACATTGATGATGATGATGATGATGATGGTCATTGTATGTTTGGATCCAATACAACAACAACAACAACAAAAATTTACCCATTCCACTTTTTTTTTGTTTAACTAGGTTAATTAGCATGTAAAGAATTTCATTGATGCAAATTCATGAGAAAAATAAATTGAAAAAAAATTGTTCATTGAATCCATATATATATAAATATAGGTAGTGAATGACACATGGGAATGCTTTTTTACTAATAATAATAATAATCATAATCATCATCATTGAATATATGCAGATGGGACTGGAATGGACAACTGGAATGTGGTTGTATTTTTTTTTTTTTTTTTGTTTTTAATTTTGGCTAATTAGATTCTCATTACAAAAATCATCTGGTTTGTTCAGGAGAATCATTGGGCGTACGTATTTGGCTTTCATCGCCCAATATATGGCTTGTTTCATCATCATTACTATCATCATCAATAACATTTGTTGTTCGTTGCTGTTGTTGTTCATGGCCATCATCATCATTATCATTATCATCATCGTTGTTGTTGTCGTCATCGTCATCGTCATCGATGACTGCCATAGGAACCAATGATTTACGTGGTTCATTTGTCGATACCGTTTCATATCCAATTGGTGGATCCATATCGGGTAATTCTGAATCTGGTTCATGTTCAAAACGTCGTTTCATCAACATAACGGTACCCACTACAATGGTCAAAAAGAATATAAATCCAATGATAATGGCAACAACGACAACAGCGGAATTACTACTACTACCACTACCACCACCATTAGAATCAGTGATAGAACCTGCCGCTAACATTGTAATCGGGTCCTCCTGTTGATAGATGGATGGATCATCTATCTGTTCGACATGTTCATTGATGGCCATCAAAATAGAACGTAATAACTGTATGATGAAGAAAAAAAAATAAAATAAAATATCGAGGTCAATCATCAATCAAAAAAAAAGAACACGTTTTTTTTTTTTGATTCACTGGCTAACATTCAAGTTGATTACCAATCGATCAATCGAGTGTTGTGGGGTTGTGGTTGTTGGAAAAAAAACCACCACCACCACCATAAAATGTTCCATTATGTTGATTATATGTTTCAAATGTACTTATGGATGGCTATGATTGACAGGTTTGGACACACACACACACACACACATACCTGGAAATGGTTATCGCCACGAACACCGATCACAACACCAAGGCCAATATCATCATTCTTCGAATAATCAGCTTGATATGATGATGATGATGATGATGATGTACTAGTCGTTGATGTAGTAGTCATCATCATCGAATGATTATAAATAAGTTGAGAGAAAAATTGATGCGGAAATACACGTTCAGCAATACGACCCAAAGAAGTGGTTATCTACATTGTCATTGTTGTAATAATAACAATAATAATGATAAATAATGGGAATAGTCATTGTAAATAAAAAGGAGTATACCCTACCGATGATTTGTGTACAGGATATGATTGTACCATAAGTAATAGAATTGAATCATTACATAATGAATAACGCCATTTATTTCTTAGATAATCGGCAAACTGTTGTGATGCATCATTCAATGCATGACTACATGTAAAAAAAAAAAAAAAAAATAGGGAAATTGAATCACAATCAATGAACGGAAATATGGTTATCAATTGGGATATGGTAAAAAAAAAGAAAAAAAAAGATATGGTCATTATGGCTTCACTATATTGATGATGATGATGATAATGATGAATGTCGACATGATGAGATGACGGACATGGAAACGGATATCAAATGTGAATAATATAACTATCCATTTTCAGTATAAAGAACAAAACATTCGATTTGGTAATAGGAACAAAAAGAAAAAATTCGAACAAACTCAAAATCATACACACACATGCACACATTAATTACCGAGAATCATCAGTATTGATGTTACGAGCTAATGCAATGGCCACTTTGATTCCAGCTTCACCCGATGGACATTGATGGCAGAAACATTTATTTGAATTTTGATATTTTTCAAGTAAATCTCGTATTTCATTTGCTGAAATAGAATAATAATAATAATAATAATAATAAACGATTGATATTAAATCAAACAGACACACACACACCTACACACACACACGAACAAAAAAAAAACATACGATACCTTCGATTGGATCGAGAATTTGATCTGGATCACAGAGTAATGAACTTTTTGGCTGTCTACATCCATATGGATCTACCAATGGATTTGGATATTTTTCTTGGCTCCAATAAAAACCAACTGGATATGATAATGAATGTGATGATGATGATGATGATGGTGGTGATGATGATGATGATGATGATTATTGGTGCAGACAATTCATCTGAAAGGCATCGATTTATCATCAACGATAATAGGATAACCAAGCTTAAAACCGAAATATTGATGGTTGATGAATGCATTTTTTTTTTTTTTTTTTAAGTTAATATTCGATAATCAATGATTTTTTTTTTTTGGTTTCCACCAATGATGACTATGTCGAATGATAATTTAGACAACGCCATAACATTGCAATCGAGCGCAACACTTGGGTAACACACACACACACACAGACATCTTATCAATAATAATCAATAATAACGGGATTAAGCTGCTTTTCATTTTCATTTTCATTGCCTGTGTGTGTGTGTATGTAGCATCCATGAAAAAGAATTGATGAATTTGATTGAAATGAAATGAAAAAAAAAATTTCGAATGTCAATGATTAATGCCATTTGGTCATTTGGTTTGATTGATACAAAAAATGTTTACAATGGACACAATGGTTACTCTATATATATAGATATATTAGGTAACGATGATGATGATGATGGGGATGGTGACATGCCCGCAGCCCATCCATATCAAACACACACAATATGGTTATTGCTTTCACATTTTACGGTGGTGATTGTTGCTGGTGATTTTTTTTTTTTTTTTTTTGGCTGTCATGGTGATTTTATCATTATTGTCGTTATATTGGATTTATTTGCTTTTTTTTTAGCCAACTATCTTGTATATAAATGGAAAGATTTATGTGATATATTTTTATTGCTACATATAGCCAGAGAGATATATATATATAGAGAGCCACCACCAATCCTCTCATCACACACACACACACAGAGAGAGAGACACATAGACACATTTGGTCCAAACAATTGATGAAAAGTCGTTATTATTATTATTATTTTGAATTACGACACTTAAGAATTTGGCGACAATTCCCTTTTGAGATTTAAGTTACACACACATACACATACACACACACAAAGGAAAAAAAACGAACAGAGTTACCATTCGAAAGATGTGCGAGTGTGTGTGTGTGTGTGTCGCGATAATCATCGTTTGTTTTAATTTTGAAAAAAAAAAAAAAACACAAATGAAACATTTGCTCATCTCGTCGTTGTTTTTTATCATTAGTAGGTGTGTGAGAGAGAGAGAGAGATAAATATCAATATTCAGACAGGCAGACAGGCAAACAAAAAACAAACAAAACACAGAGAGAATCCATTCTCATTAGCTGAGGATCCGTTCATTTTATAAAATGATCGATTCATTTGTGTGTTATGTATGGTGTGTGTGTGAGCCAACAACAAAAAAAAAAAAAAAAATGTGCAATCCGTAAATTCCGTGTCTGTTAATGATTCTTTTTTTGTTCATTTCAAGAATTTGAATTTGAATTTTTTTTCTGTTTTTTTTTTAGTTTTAAAATTTTTTTTTTATCAATGTGATATAATGGTGAATAGAATAAAAATAAAAAAAAAAAGAGCCGTGTACATTGCAAAAAAAAAAAATAAAAACAAAAAAAACAGAAGAAAAGAAAAGAAAATGGAAGCATAGATCGTGATCGTATTAGCCGTGTGTGTGTGTGTGTGTGTGTGTGTGTGTGTGTGTCCAAAACCACAATCAGTCTTGAGATATTGGAATCGGATTGGTTGTCCGGGAGAGAGAAAGAGAAAGAGAGAATATCAAAAAGCACACTGAAATGAAAAAAACTGGCAATCAAATAACAATTGGCCAAAAAAAAAATTGTCAATTCTATGGGCAGAATTTTTCTTCAGAACAACAACAACATGCACAACATACATTTACACACACACACACAAGCAGAATCCAAACACACAAAAAATGAAACCAACTATGATGTGGATGATGATGATGATGATGGATGCACAGAATTGTATCAAACCAAATGGATTAACAAAAAACAGCAACAACATATATAGACACACACACATTACATTCGAGGTATGTCAACAAACGTGGTTCCGGATCCATACATAATGTATGTATGCATATGCTACATTTTTGTTGATTTATTCAAATTGATTTGTATTGTCATTTTTAAGATGATTGAGTAAACAGATAGCGGGAGAAAAAAAAACACTGAAAATCATCATCTCATTTTTGTGTGTGTGTGTGTGTGCCTGAGATTTCAGAATCAGAGAATTTTTTTTTTTTGCTTTCGATAAATTTTTGCTCTGCTGCTGGCTGTTTGCAATTTTCCGTCTTCGTCTTCTTCTTCCGAAGAAATCTGTTAATAATGTTGTGTGATTGAATTTACTCTGCGTGTGTGTGTGTGTGTGGATGTCTTTAGTGTTAAATTCTAATTTGTTGCCCATAATTTTTTTTCTTTTTATGAATTGAAAACAAAAAAATATAATCGTTGTATATATGTGTCTAATATAATTGTTCTCGGCTAAAAAAGCAAAAAAAAAAAAAATCGTTATGCCCGGTTGGTTGAACTAGATTTTGCTAGTTGGATGGATGGATGAATGGATGGATAAATTTCAATGATTCGAATACGTAGAATGAATTGAATTGAATTCATATCATGAACAAATTTGATTGTAATTATGACGGTATTTTGGGCCATTTTTTTTTTTTTTTTTTTTTTGGTTCATAAAACGAACCAATGAAATGAGAAAAAAACAACACACACACACACACACACACACCACACACACACACGATAAGAACAAATTTTCATTAGAAAAGATAAGACTTAATCTTATAATAATACAAAAATTTCGTTTAGTTTCGTTTTCGTTTTTTGTTTTTTTGTTCTATTCGAACCCGATTCCGATAGGATGTGTGTAAATAGATGCCATACATAGATTGGATGATGATGATGATTTTTTTTGCCATTGTTTTTTTTCAGAATAAATGAAGTTTTTTCTTTTTTCTTATCTCATCCATATAATAACGACGATGATGATAAAGAGAGCGAAGAATATTCTGGTATATTAAGGTAAGACACACACACATATGTGGAAAGCCAAATATTCTCAGTTCCTTTGTTTATATATCTCTCTCTCTGATTCTATCGACAATGAATCTTGGTATTTTTTTTGTCTTGTTTTTGGCTAGCTTTAGCACCACTAGCACCACCTATTCAATTTGATTGATCGAGTGTGAAATAATAATCATCATCATCATCATTATTTTGTTTGTCGTTATATTCGTCACATTGACGCATATATTTTATATACAACAACAACAACAATCAGAATTGTACCAATTTGTCTAAAATAACCCAACCCCACACCACCACCACCACCACCCAACCAACCACCATCATCATCATCATCACTTTTACTTACAATTGATAATGCCATCGGCTTTTTTTTTCTCTAAAAAAAAAAAAAATTAATAACTCATTCTCGTTATGACTCACTATGATGATGATGATGAACAAAGAATAATTGCATTTCTCACACACACACACACACACACACATTTGTAGACATTCTGGATTCTTTACCAATGATGTGTGTGTGTGTGTGTGCTTGACAACACACTTGTATTTTTGGCCATCATCATCATCATCATCATCGTCGTTTTTTTTTCTTGCTGATTCAATTATGTTGGCCTCGACATTCGACATGGCGTCCAAATACACACAACATTCGACATAGAGAATGAGAGAGAGAGAGGCTACCTTATCTTATCAAGATGGATATTTTTTTTCTTCACCTTCGTATATATATATGAATTGCAAACAAAAAAAAAAAAAAAAAAATTCTCGTGTACTGGTGAATCGCGATTCTTTTTTTTTCTCTCTCTACATTCATAATAAAAAAGGCGCATGTGACTTTCTTCGATTCTTTGGTTCTGTGTATGGTTGTGTGTATACAGAGGCGGAGATTCAAGTTTTGATGATGACGCCATAGGCCATGCCGAAACGAATGGCCAAATTCGAACCTCGATTCTTCTAAGCTCAGGAATTTTTTTTATTTATTTTTTTTTACTTTTTTTTGAATAGAATCAGTCGTCGGTCAGATAACTTTGTGTAATGTGTGTGTGTGTGTGTTTGTGTTTGTTTATTACATATCTGTAATTTGCCTGTTTGCAAAGTGGTTGACTTGAATTTTTTTTTTTTGCCACTGTGGCCACATTTTTCCAATATCAGCATGACACACAGCAACATGATAGAATCTCATTGATTGATCATCAATTTTCATCATATTGATTGATTGATTGATTTTTTTGATACATGAAAATGTTCACCATGTTCTGACCAACATCATCATTATTTTATCATCATCATCATCATGATCTTATAATTCTAATTTTCTAATTGCATTTTGTTGTTATTATTGTGTCATAGTGTCTGTGTATGGCATTTATCGATTGAATCGATATATACTATCGATACTATCATCATCATCATCATCATATTGTTAATGTTGTTCGAATGAATAAGATAGCCAGCTGATATATGATGCTGTGATGATGATGATGATGATGTTTGATGCTAAATGCATCATCATCACACACAGCATCAAACAATTCAAAAACCCTCAAGGTTTAGAGTGGTTCAATTTTGCTTTCAAAAAAAAAAAAAAAAAATTCTGAATCAACTCATTTTTTTTTTTTTTAGTTTAGTTTATATTTGAATTTTGACAATTTACTTGTGTTCTATTGAAAATGAAAATTCCATCCCAGATTATAACAGCAGCAACAACAACACTACCAACAATAACAACAACAACAACAATGATGATGATGATGAAACGAAACAAGAATATAAACATTTATCATGCCTGGGGCTTTGTCAATTTCAACTTTTATATATATCTGTCTTTATTTGTTGTTGATGGTTGTTAATGGTGGCATTATTGTTGATGGTGATGGTGATATGGTGTAATGTTCAATATGATGGTGATGATGCAAATATATATCAGACGCACATACATACACACACACACACACACAGCATGTTGTTGTTGTTATTGCTTATTTCATCATTGAAATTCGAATCAAAATTGAAAACAAAACAAAACAAAACAACATAAAAACAATGGTAAGTTAATTAATTATCATCAATTTGGTCGGTTTGTTTGGTTTGTTCACAATTTTTCATCAACAAGTGCAAGTGTATCTCTTTTTTTTGTTTTGTTTTTCTTCACTATGGGTCATTCATCGATATTATATCTGATTGATGATGATGATGATGATGATGATGATCGATGGTGATGGTGGTAGAAATAGAATCAAAAAGTGAGTGAATAAGTGAAAAAAAAAATTTGTTGAATTTTGAGAAAAAAAAAATCCTATAGAGTTTATTGACTTGATGACTTTTGTGAGAAAATATATAACAAAATTAACCAGTGAAAAATATAGATTCTGGATTCTGATGAATGACCTCATTTTACACCTAATTCTCTCGGTGTGTTTTTGTTAATGTTGTTGTTGTTGTTGTTGTTGCCAGGCAATACAACTGAATGATGATGATAATAAAATTTAATTAAATTCATTGTCATATGATGATGATGATGATGATGATGATGATGCAAAGCAAAGAATAATAAAAAAAAAGAGATAACAGTCCACATACTTGAAAATGTTTGAAACCTTTGATTAGAATGAATTCAACTGAAAAAATGGTAAATGAACTAATTACCATATATCATCATCATCATCATCATCAAAAAAAAAAGACAAGACAAGACATTCCTCATATTATGTGGAGAATTCTCATTTCCAGAATCGATCGATATATATATTCTAGCTGGTAGATTCTGTGTGTGTGTTTGTAAATTTTGCACTTATTCATTTATTCATTCATTCATTCATTTTTTTTTTTTTTTTGAAAAACAATTCCAATTGTCAATTCATATCGATTGTTGGATGATTGTTTTTTTTTTGTTCCATCAATTATTATAACGATATATTCTATTGATTGATGATAATTTATTCTTGATGAATGACAATGATGATGATGATGATGACTAACAAATCAATTGCTTGTTCCGGAACAGGATGCGCGTGTGTGTGTGTTTGTCACTTTGTGATCATAAATGAATTTTTATTTTCACAACAACAACAACAACAATAGTCTTATAGTGTCGTAAAAAAAATGATAATTCAATAAATTGGTGTGTGTGTGTTTGAAGAATCTAAATCACACCATCTGGAACAATCATCATCATCATCATTGTCATTTTCATTTTTTTATGATTGTTATCACCATACCGACCGACCGACCGACCAACCAATCGATTTATGCCCAAAAAAAAAAAAAAAAATTTTTTGGTTCCAAAATGAATCAAGTGTGTGTGTATGTTTATGCCGGCCGTGTCAGCAAGGGAATTTCCCAAACCATTTCTCATGCTCTCTATGGAACATTCTCTATACACACACACACACTCTAGACACACACACAGGTCAGGTGAATCGATCAATCAATTGATTAAGTAAAAAAAAGAGGATTTTTGTTTGTTTGTTTACTACTAGAAACGATGAGAATCAATCTCACTATGTGAATGAATGAATATTTGGGAATGTCATGGACACATGAACAACAACAACAACAACAACAACAACATCATCATCATCGTCATCATCATCACATCATCTTGGATTCTTTTTAATGTTGATAGCTTTCAGTTAAAGTGAAAATGAAATTCTCAATATGAGTAACATTCTCGATTGGTATGGTATGGTATGGCGGTGGTGGTGATGATGGTGATGGTGATAGTGATGGTGCAACAATAAAATAGGCAACGGAAAAAGAATCTCAAGCCTCTAGGGATTGTATGTATGTGAATCGAATGAAGCAAATGATGATGGTTATAATGAATAAAATGAATGAATGAATGCACAGCGACCGAATTCACGAATTTTTTGATGATGATGATGATGATGATCAGATGAAATCATCGATAGATTCTTTACTTTTTTTTCCACTATATTAGTATACATAGAATTCGTTTCGAGCATGCGTCCATTGTGGCTGTCAATGATGATTATAATCATAATAATCATCATCATCATCATCATCATAATGCGATTATCATTTCATCATCATCATCAAAGTTTTCTTTTCTTAAACTTTTTTGTTTTCTTTTTGGCATCATTCGACATACACACACACACACACACACACACTCGTACACCTTGCATTTTGTACAAGTTTACTTGACCAAAATATATTTAGTATTTAGTGCAACAAAGAAAAATCCATCTCATTGACATTTGTATTATTCATGAATGATGAGAATCTGTGTGTGTGTTGGATCCATCCATGAATTTTGTTTGAAATTTTCAAATTATTATTAGTAAGAAAAAGTGTTTAGTTAAAATTAAGTCAAGTATCAATGAATCAATAGGCCAAAAAAAAAACGGCAAAAGATTCAGATGCCAGATTAACGGTTGCATGAGATTGACTGGCAGCCGAATAAATAAACACCCAGAGAGAGAATAATAATCACACACACACACACATTGCTGTTTACCCCTTCCTCTGTTTCCCCTAATAATGATGTGATATGATGGGCTAAAATATTATTTATTCCTAGTAACGAATTCCAGAATAGAAGAATGGCTAAAAACATATACACAGACACACACACACATCGATCAGAGAATCATCATCATCACATTCTACATCAACATGTTCTTCATCGCCTTATTAAAATGCTCAACTCGTCATCATGATGATCATGATCATGATGATGATGATGATCATCTTTGCCTTATTAAAATCCCTTCAACATCTGTTTATTCAACTCAAAGATGTGTACATCAATGTGTGTGTGTGTGCAATGATCATGATGATGATGATTGAAATACATCGTGATTTATGATGATGATCTCCATCTTTTTTCTTCTCCTTTGGGGCTCATGCAGTGCAATGGCTCAGATTTAGCCATAGATAGATAGATAGATAGATAGTTTACCAATAATAATATCTTTGTGTGAGAGCCAAACACGTGTATACGAATGAAAAAAGAAACCAGAAATCAGAAACATATAAATCCCTTCAACATCTTATTTTTTTGTGTTTATTCGAGGATAAAGATGAAAAGATTTTTTTTTTTTTTTTGGCTTTGTCCAAGCCGATCAAAGATGTGTACCGACATACAGAGAGAAAGAGAGAGAGATCGAAGGATATAATGTGTGTGTGCAATGATCATGTTGTGCAATGATGATGATTGAATACATCGTGATTTATTGAGAGAGTGGAATAGAGATGGTATGATAACCCAGTTTTTTTCCCATCTCCATCTTTTTCTTCTCCTTTGGGGCTCATGCAGTGCAATGGCTCAGATTTAGCCATAGATAGATAGATAGATAGATAGTTTACCAATAATAATAATAATTCGAAAGCTTTCGGAATGTGCGATTATTATTTGTGTCTGTTGTTGTTGTTGTTGTTGTTGTTGATGTTGGTAATACTACCGATATTCCAATATGGAATAGTGGAGAAAAGCAAAGAGACAGAGAGAGAGGGGGGCACAAAAGAATTTTTTTTTCTGGCGTTCCATTTAATTTATATTCAAATCGAGTCCATGTCTGATGATTTTTGTTGTTGTTGTTGTTGTTGTTGTTGTTGATGATGATGAATTTTGGTGGGCTGATTTTTGGAGCCCAAAGTTTTTTTTTTTGCTCTATGAACATTGTCAATAGTAAATTGAATGAAAAAAAAATAAATAATGAAGCCATCAACTTGCCGGAATGTTTGCATATTATTTATCAATTATTAATAATTTTTGTAATTAGAAATGATGATGATGATGATGATGATGATAAATTTGAAAAAAAAATTGTCATTCAATTGACCATCATGACTATATATACACTTGTAAAGTTTGTATTTTTTTCCACTGTTTTGACCATATACAATAAAATGACCGGAAAACAGTAACAGTGACAGCCATAAGCTGCAAGTGATAATTAATCAATATTTTTTTGATATGTTTGCAAGCAAAAAAAAAAAAAATGAAAAAAGTTTGTTTGACCGCTGGACATGATGATGATGATGATGATGATCAACAGTAGAATCGAATGGATGATTTATGTTGACATACCTAATGATACAATTTAAATATATTGATGATTATGTGATGGTATGAACACCTTTGATCAATCTTTGAATCTATGCTTTTTAAAGAATATTTTTTTGTTCCATTGTTATTCTCTCTGTGTGTGTGTGTGTGTGTGTGTTTGATGTGCAAATTTTAAATTTCAAATTCAAATTCAATTGAACAATTGTGGCTACAATTGTTCAATAGTCCATGAGCCATCCAGTTTGCCTTGTTATAATCATCATCATCATCATCATAATCATCAACAATGAAAATGTCATCTGGCGGCCGATTTTTTTTTTCCTTAGATAATGATGATAATAAATCAGGCACATCCTATTACGAATACACAAACACACATACACAATTGTTATATGTTGTTCATTCACGTTTGTTTTTTTTATTATTAATAATTGAAACATCGATATACGATATATTTAGTAGTAGTAGTTGTAGTTGGAGTAGTAGTAGTAGATATCAATTAACGTCCGGTTTTGAGCTCATTATTTATAAAAATGTATACATTCCATAATGATTCTTTGGCGCTAATGAGCTGTTATTTTTTTTTCTTTTGCATTCTATGGACAAATTATACACACACACACACACACACATTGACCAGTCAATATCGATATTATGTGAATTTCATAAAAATCGATTCGATTGTGTCCATTTATACAATATATGAGAATGACCACTTTTGACATTTTTTTTTTTTTTATTTATTTATTCTATTCTATGGTATCCATATCTATATAGTACATTAATGATGTAATCAAGATACAAGCTCATTGACCATTGATTAGAATGGAAAACATTTACAATAACAACAACAGACAAACATATGTATGATGATGATGATGATGATGTTTAACATTAATAATTGAATTGGATACAATTCATTAATGATGAAGATGAAGATGATGATTATAATGATGATGACAATGATGATGATGATGATTATAAAGATGATTATGGTACAAACATAATGATGAATGAAATAGAAGAGCTAAACCTGTAGTATGTCCCGAATGAAACAAGACATAAGACAGAATTTTTTTTGCAGAATTTTTTTTTCTTAGAATTTCTATTTCCATCTACTAATGAAATGAAAAACAAAGTCTTGCTGTGTTGGTCTTCCAAACAAGGTGGCAAATAGAATGAATGAATGACCTATTGTTGTTGTGTATTGAAAAACAACAACAACAACAACAACAACAGTGGTTATCGATGCCAAAAGTCATAACTTTTGTGTGTGTGTGTGTGTGTGTGTGTGTGTATGTCCCAAGTGTATTGGAAAGATATTTATACATTATGAATGTGAATGTTGTTGTTGTTGTTGAATGGATGACATTTATATATAGTTTATATATATAATAATAATAACGACGATAATGATGATGGTGATTTTTTTCAGGATCAAAAAAACGACCAACAACGACATTGATGATGAGCTTGTCGAAAGGAATCAAATGAATATGTTTGTTTGCCTGCACACACACACACATACTGATTATATATGAACCGTAACGAAATACCGTTACCGGGAATAATGTTGACGATGATGTTTGCCTGATGACTTTCTAGAGACAGAAAGAGAGAGAGAGATACACGATGCAATAAGAAACAAAAAAAAAAAACAAATGTGAAATGAAATGTGATATAAGAATCTAATGAAATATATACAGAATCAGAATAAATTCAACTAAATCAACAAATATTCTTAAGAAATGGAAATTAATGGTAAGCAAGCAAGAAAGCATGCAAGCGAACAAGATGGGAACTCGATTCGTGATACAGAACTTTGAATTCTGAATTCTGAATTCTGAATTTGGAACCAAACATAAATATACTGAACATACACACACACACACACACACAGAGAGAGAGAGAGAGATTTCCATTCGATTTTATTATTATTTGCTACTTAGCCCCCATTTTTTTTTTATTTCATAAACAACAAACAAACCATTTCTATATATATATATCTAGTCATTGTTTCCTGTTCCGGAATTTTTTTTTTCATTGCTAAACTTGCTAAATATACGAATGATGAATGATGAATATTCAATGAATTTGTCGTTTTACCAATATTTTTTTTTTTATTTTTAAAGACGACTAGGCTTTTTTTCTATATTTCTATTTTTGTTGCTCTTTATTGCCATCGATTTCTTCAACCGATTTGTTCGTTTCACTCGTTCCATTCAAACACACACACACGCAAAGAATTTGTTGTGAATCTCTCCTGTGAATCAAAAATTTTTTTTTCTTTGTACCATATTAAGTCAATAGACAAACGTCATCATTTTTCAAATTTGTAAACAAAGCCAATATTTTTGTCCATTTTGCCCAATCTATTTATCTATCTATCTAGATTCCTAGATTCTAGATTCATCATAATCACACATGTATAAATGGATAATGATTATAATCGATGGATGAACAAACGAACAAAAATAAAAAAAAAAAAAAATTCCGATAATGATGACAAATGGATCAATTTGTAATCGATCTTGTATTATTATCGGCTGTTTTTTTGGTTCATCAATTTATCATTTTTTTTAATTTTTGTTTTTAAAGATTCTGTATATGAAACATCGAATGAATTGAGCAAATAAAATTGAACGTAACAAGTTTGTTTTTTTTTTTCTGATTGAAATTCTGGACATTTTTAGCCCTTATTTTGCCTTGATAATGATGATGATGAATCAATTAAAACAAATCATATGTGATGAACATGAAATGTTTGTGTGTGTGTGTGTGATCTATCCAGTACACACACACACAGATGATTAATCAGCTTAAATTTTGGGCAGCACCAGCAGTAGCAGCTAATATAACGATGAATGAATGAATGATGAATTTGATTAAAAGAATTGTTCAACTGTAAATTGAAAACTTAAAAGAAAAATCAAGAATCAAGATAGAGAATGGATACATACACATTGTGTCTTTTTATTTCACAGAATTTCAAACAGAATTTTAGACAAGCAAAGCTCTAGTAGTGTGGATTGATGCAAACCTAGTAGATAGATTAAGACAACAACAACAACGACGATGGCCATGTCGAAAGAATGTTTTACAACACGTCTGTCAATATTTACCACTCGAATGGACACAACATGATGATGATGGTGATGATGATAATCGCCTTTACGAGACAGTTAGTCCATTCTATTTTCATTCTAAATTCTTCGTTGAACTGATGATTCTCTCTTCTTTCATGCCATCTGCATCATTCAACAATAACAATGTATGAATGGATCAAAATAGAAAAAAGGAATCAAACCGACTGGTTCATTGGATTTTAATTAAAAAAAAAAATTTTGCAACGCAAGGGCGTATTTCACATCTGAGGCGTTTTTTTGTTCAAACAACAACAACAACAAAAACAGCACCAAATTGACTTGACAGCCAGTCAGCAAACCAGCCAGTTAGTTTGTCATTGATTGTGGTGAATAGAATCTCACAATCAGGTTTTGACATAACCAATACAAAAGCACGTGCTCGATATTCTGGATTCTCGATGTTGATGATGATGATGATGATGATGATCATTGTGATTATTTTCAATAATTACTCAATTACATTGTGATAATGATAATGAGAATGATTAAAATTTACATATGATGACAAGGTGTAGAATGTGGGGTTGCCGTCATCATAAATCAATTAATAAATGAATAAATGAATGAATGAATGAATGAATAAAGATCGAATCTCAAATGATATCATACATTGATAGCATACGATCTCATTTGTCAAATCCATTTTTTACTACTATGGCCATTGTTTTTGGCTTTGTGAATAAAAATGGGGAACAAAAATAAATAAAGGAAATGTAATTTGCCAAATTGATGCACTGGATTGTTGCTGACATAAACAGCAAACATCATTGTGGATAGGAAACAGCAACACAATATACAATATACAATAAGGCTGTTGTCATCTGATGGTTCCATACACTACACACGCATATAGTATTCTTCCGATCTGATGATGATGATGATGTTCTCTGATACTCGATTCGAATTGGTGAGAGAAAAAAAAAATACCGGGATTTAGTTGTTGTTTTGATTGTACAGATTTGATCGGGCCTGCTGAGCTCGGCAGTTGCAGCCGCCGCCGCCGTCATCTCCGTTTTTGTTGTTGTTGTTGTTGTTGTTGTTGTTGTTGTTTTTTGCTGTATTCGTGTGTCAGTTCAAAAAAAAACAAAAACAAAAAAAATGAATGAATGAAATTGACAAACAAACAAACCAACCAAGACAATACAATTGAAACCAGACCAAATCTAATTCCAAAAAAAAAAATTCTCTTTTTTTTCTTTCTTTCTTTCTTTCTTTCATTCATTCTATAGATAGCTAAAACGGTTTATTCATTTCAGTGCCAATGGCTGTCTACATCCTGCCATTGATAAATGACAGGTTTATGAAGTGACATATTCACCTTCCCCATCATACACATACACACACACACACACACACATGCCCACCACCACTCTAACAATCCACCCGAAGACGATGAAGAAAAGATCCAGATTTCAATGGCTTCTGTTTCTATTGCCAACACATATGATAAACATGATGGCATTATTATTTACGTTGGTTGCGGCCACCACCACCACTACAACCACCAACTCATCGCCCGATCGCTTTACTAATTATGCGTTCGATGACTACGGAGAATCGATCATTGACATTGACAATATAAAATCAGCTACTAGTACTAATACTAATGATTCTTCTATCGAGGATGGTGATTCAACGATTTGGTCAACAAGTGATGATTATCATGGCAACATTAATTTGGACACTAATAGTGAGACCAATCCGATAGAGATGTCAATCGAATCTTTACGTTATCCATTCTGGTTTACGATATTCATTGCCGTTTGCATAGGCATCTGTTCTATTATTACGATTGCCGGCAATGCATTGGTGTTGGTCGCCTTCTGTGTTGAACGATCGATTCGCCAGCCATCCAATTATTTTATCTGTTCATTGGCCGTAAGCGATCTGTTTATCGGCGTGATATCAATGCCCTTTTATGCAGTCTATGAGCTAATGGGTCGCTGGGATCTGGGTGCCGTACCTTGTGATCTTTGGTTAGCCACTGACCATACGGTTTGTTTGGTCTCCATATACACTGTACTTTCTATCACTATCGATCGATATTGTTCGGTGAAAATAGCAGCCAAATACCGATCATGGAGAACAAAACAAAAAGTGCTCTGGTCAATTGCCGTCACCTGGATCATACCGTTTCTTGTGTTTTTCACTTCGATCATGGGTTGGGAACATTTTACCGGAAAACGTGAACTGGCTCCAGGCGAATGTGCTGTACAGTTCCTCAAGAATGCTGTGTTCAACACATCGCTAATAATCGGCTATTTTTACGTTACCATTGTGATATTGGTCGTTCTCTATATGGGTATCTACCGTACGGCAAGTGAAATGGCCAAAAAATCGGACGCCAAACAACGAAAGATTCAACAGAGCTTGGCACCAGTAGTCGTATCGCATCAGGATACTGGATCCACACAACACGACAGCGATGTTGTTCTATCGAAAAAAATGCCAAAACAGATGCTAACCAATCCAAATAATACAACCGAAACTACTCGTGTTAGCGATTCGGCCATCGAAACCCAGAAACAGAAAGTGCCCATCTCTCATGATGACATTACCATGACAACTTCATCCAACACATCGTCTAATGAAACCAAAAACGTGACAGCTATGGGTAGCATGACCAAAGGTGACCTGACCTATGCTTGTGACGACCACCATCATCATGTTTGCAGTAGCAGCCACAAGTCATCGACGAGAAAGCAAAAAAAATCAAGCCATTCAAATTACGTGGATGAATATGAAGACGAAGAAGATGATGAATATGATTATGAAGAAGATCGATCCAGTTCACCTACATTCGAATCAGATGACGACAATCTTTCCATCGATCATGAACGACAACCACGTAGCCGTCGCAAAAAGCTCAAAGGCTTTCTGGGCAAAAATATGCCTCTAGAATCAATTGCACCCTTTTCATCATTGGCCATGCCATCTACCGATCAATCTACGTGTCCTTTGCCTGTCGATTCGAAACAGTGCAAATTGTCCCGTAATTTTGCCAATCCATTTCATTCTCAACGTCATCATGCCAGGATAGTAACTGGTCGACCTTGTAGCCATCACCTGTATCCATCGCAGCTGACATCGTTCCAACAAACGCCCGAGCTATGCAAAGGCCCCCTCATACCTCGATCACCCATTGTTTCCAACAATGACGACAATACTACGCACAGCCAATTTCGTCGATTGGTCGAATTAAGTCGCATAAAAAATTATGAACGATCAACAACAGAGCAAGGTAGATACTATCAAATATTTGATTCTAGTCAATAATCTCAAACGCTACGACAGGTGTCGAATCGTCGTCGAATAACAATCGAACTTTGGAAGCCAAACCAGAACACAATCTTTTGCTCACCAGGTATGTTTCAATAATTTTTTTTGAGAATCTGTGATTAATGAATTTCCTCTCTATAACCAGCAGCAGTTCAGCGGGCATAGGATTCGAGCCAACACACACTTTGATCGTAACGGCAACAGTCACTCAGTCTACATTGGTCACCACTACGGCTGCCATTTCCTTACGTAGAGAGGAACTTCCACCTGTAAATGGTTCATCTCCAAACGAGCACACCCATCTTCTGCATCAAACGCCTGGTCATCAGATTCTGATAAAAGCCGAACCAAGCCAGTCCTCAAAACATCAAATTATCGAACAAACAGAATGCGATAACAAACAACGCAAAGGTCGTTCTCATAAAACAAGACGAACGAAGAATAGTTTAAATAATAATAAGCAAGCTTCAGGACGGAAACTTACCTCTGCCAAGCACAAAGGCTATCACCATAATCAGATGCAACGAGAACAGCAACGGCAAAAGTCTAAATCAGAAAATCGAGCACGTAAAGCATTGAGAACCATATCGTTTATTCTGGGCGCCTTTATTCTTTGCTGGACTCCATACCACATTGTAGCCCTAGTTGAAGGGTTTTGTTCTGGCTGTGTCAATCATCATTTTTTCTACTTCACATACTTTCTTTGCTATGCCAATAGGTAAGTAATCGGATTTATCATCCACCATGGCCACCACTAACATCACTTTATATGTTTGAATAATAACAACAATCATTCGATAGGATCAGTGTATATTGCATCATCAAATGATTGATAGGCAATCCGATTTTATCGACTAAATAGTTCCTATGTTTTATATATATATTTACAATTTATTGATAAGAGGATTTTAGCCAAACAAACCCTTGGCCCAAATTCTATTATATTTTTATATATATATATATATTGTGATGGCAATTTGCTCCGATATGTTGAAATACAAATAACACAATCAAACCTAAAATGAAACACAATCATTGAATTTGATTATTAATTTGTTTTTCTCTCTCTCTCTCTCTCTCTCTCTTTTACTCATTCATCATCAACTACACCTCACCCTCTCTCTAGTCCATTGAATCCATTTTGTTATGCATTGATGAATCAACAATTTAAAAAAACATTTATTCGTATCCTGAGTGGTGATCTACATCGTACATAGTGAAATAAAAACATGAATCATCATCATCATCATCGTCATCAAAATATCATCATCTACATCTATATATCATGAATGTTGGTATACCATTTAAATCCAATAAATCAAATTAATCAATCAATGTCCAATTCACATTCATCATATGAATTAATATACAGATGCTAACAACACCCTTAACACACCTATATCTCTTTATCTCTTTTTACATACACAAAACATACAAACTTAGATGACAAGAAATCAAGACAGACAGGTAAAGAATACACAAACACACACACACACACACACACATATAGAGCTTGATTGGGTAATGGGCTTGTATCCATTTATTGTGGTTGATTTTTTGTTGTTGTTGTTGTTGTTGTTGCTACTTGATGTATTTATCTATCGAATTATATGATTAAAAATTACGATCCACACACACACACACATTTGATTGGTCTTTTTTGACTACATATAATCTGCTGAATGTGGCACAATTCACATTCAAAATCGATTCATTGGATAAAAAAAAATGCCTTGAAGCTAAAAACAATGTTTACTAATTGCTTGCGTTGGTGGCAATCGATCCAGCTGAAACGGTAATTGAATTTTGGTTTTCCGACCAAAAAACGATTTTTTTATTCTCTCTTCGTCTCTTTTTCTTGATCAAAATTGATGATGAATACAATTCTTGAGCCAAGTTGCGACATCTTACGACTTGATTGGCAATCTGAATAAAAAGGAATCTGTCGAATTCAACATTTCATTTGTCTTTATAGTGTGTGTGGATGATGGAATTATTGAATTGAATAGGCTGAAAGATTGTCTTTATTTATAGATTATATATATAAAAAGACACACATCTTCTATCTATATGTGATCAACCATTTGGCATATATTTGTTGGCAGCAGCAACATTCATTTTGTTTTTATTTTGTTTAACCAATTCAATCAAACAAACGAACAAAATGTTCGACACTCGACATTCAAATTCTAGCTACAGTAGCTGCAGCAGCAACAGCAACAGTGTAAGATGAGATTTGTCATCATTCTGATTCATTGAAGATTGAAGTTTTTGTGGCTAATGTAACAAATAAACAAATAAAATAAACAAAAAAAAAAAGTGTTTCAAGTGTCCGTTACCGTTTTTCAAGAGTTTATTCCAGGCTGGACAAAGGACCACCACAATGACCACAACAGATGATGGATTCCTTCGTCACAAACATTTGTTTACATTTCTCAACTTTTGGGGTAAGTGTTTTTGCTTTGCTTTGCCAGCATATCTTATTCGTCGCTGATTTATTTTGATTGTATCCAATATGAACAATGGAACAATGAAGATGAGAACCATGATGGCATTCTTTCATGGGAAGATTTTCGTTTGCTTGCAGAAAAATTCGCTAAAATTCAACGACGTGGTCGTCAACCCGAAAAAGAGGTGGTCGAACGATGGCAATCAATCTTTGAAAAATGGTGGAACGAACTAACATCCTATGCCGATTCGAACAAGGTTTTCTTTGCTCATCATTATCATTGTCATTATCATTTAGTAGCATCAATTTATTTTCATTGTATGATTGTTACAGGACAAATATGTCGAATTTCACGAATGGTTGGATTTTTTCAAACAACTCGGCAAGAATACCAAATCGTTTGGCGAATTGCCCGAATTCTTGAAAATCTATTTACAACTCTTTTTCCTTTGTTGTGATGCCAACAGTAAGTAGTAGAAGCAGATTCGGTTACCTGTTTTTTTTCTGTTTCCAATGATAATGATGCATCAAATGAGTTGATTGCTTGTCATAAATAGCCCATTAACGCTTTTTTTTTGCTTCGACAATTGAATTGAAATGAATTATGCAACCAGCACGATAACAAGATAAACAAAAAAAAGAATGATAAATACGTGCATCGAATTCAACAGTGCTATTTATTCATTTTTATCCATTCAATGTCAACGATCGACTCTCTTTGGTTGTTTTTTCATCGTTACAGAGGATGGCTTGTTCTGCATCAAAGATTACAAAAAATATATCGCCAATCTTAAGATGGATACATCCAAAGCACAGGAACATTTTGATTACATGCTGATCGATGAGGATCGTACTAACAACGAGAATGCTCTGAATTCTGACCGATTCAAAGCAACCGTTTACGACTTTTGGGTCTCAATGGATCCAAACAGGTATATGTGTACATGTGTTTGCTAACTATTAATTTTAAATTATTCATTCATTTATACTCTAGCAAAGGCAAATATATCTGCGGACCATTTGATTCAATACCGATCGAAGAATTGGAGAAACGTGTAAAGAAAAAGCCATAACAATCAATAACCATAGAATCCCTATAGATAATAACTAGACTACATCTGAATTGTATCGTAAACAGACAAGTAAATTTTATTATTTTCATTATTAAAAAGCTACATCATATAATAATTGCAATTCTATAGAATATATTATGTAAGGTTGGAAAAAAAACTTGGCATAAACAAAAGAAGATTTTTTTTCCAAAAAGTGAAGTGTTTTTTTGTTGAAACATGGTCATGGATCATCAGTTTGATTGATGCCATAATGAATGGCCACACACACATTCCTTTGTCGTTTTATTGTTCTGGATACAATGCATTCCATTAGTTGGACTAAGCCAATGTGAAAGAATTTGAATGTTAATCTTCTCAATGTTTGCTATTGCAAATGAATATATTGTTGTTATTCAGGTGTAGGTTGATGCTCAGTCGCGTTTGTTGATCTTGATAGCAACAACAAAATAGGTGGCCAATCGCAGAATGAGTATGAATAGTAACATAATGGCAAAGTGGCTGTAAAAGTAATCTTCATCTACGTCGAACTGATCCAATAAGGATGAGGCATACTTTTTACCAGAACTTGGATCGAAAGTACCGCCTAGACTTCGTGCAAAGCCATCAATAAATTGTTCGCCTCCTTCACCCAGAATCATGGTCGCCATGCCAATCCATTCAGGTTTCTCAGCCGTTGCATTCATTGCCAACTGTTCTGGATCCAATTTGCATCGATCTAAACCATAAAGGGTCATTATCATCAATTCGAATGCATATCGCAAGTAAGATGTGTAGCCAAACACCTTCAGATAGCTAGGAAGGGTTGAAATACGGACGAAAAAGCCACCAAACAGCATGATCGGTACGGTGGTGATTGGGCCCAGGAAAACAGCTGCACTTGCATCCGACATAAACAAGCCACCGATCAACAATCCTTGACTTTGGGCAGCGAATGCCATCAGTATGTTAATGAGTAGAAACAAGCCGAATCGTTCCACGGTCATGGTTTGTCCAGTCATTATGTAACCAATAACGGCAAACGATGTCGGAAAACAAATCTGCAATGTAATAAAGTTTAATTTAATCAAATAGAAAGTTTGATATCGATACTAACTTGGAACGGAATTTCGGCCAACGACAAAGCTGTGTAATAGGCAGCCAGACTATACCATCCGTTGATCTTTTCTTTTTTCAAAACGTTTAGATTAGCTGGGAATGTCATGATAATGGGCATCATGGCTCCAAACAACGTAAACATCAATGTAAAGAATATGAAGGCCAGATTCTCGGTGCTAGTGATCAAATCGGCCTGATACTTGGCTCGATATTCTGAGAATCGTTCCAAGTCGTTGAGAGGCGATTCTAAAGGTGGACAGAGGGCCGGTTCACCCACCTCAGTGCCATACAACAATCCAATGAAGATGGCGGTAATCACGTGAGAGAAAAGTCGAAGCCAGTTGAGCATCGGATCCCGCAGTATTTGCTTGGTGGTTCGTTGCAACAAAATCCAAATGTGTAGAAAAGTCGGATAGTGAATTTGCGACGAATATTGTGCCAAGCTTAGATCAGATCCAACCTGATCGTCTGGTAATCGAAGATCGTTTCGTTCTTTGACTTCGATCAATCGTTGTACTTCATCATGGCCGTATTCACCAGAAGCTACTTCAGCGATAAAATCGGCTGGATTATGAAATTGAGGGCAAACCAGACCAACGTTGGACAGATAATCTAGCATATGCTGGGGTGTTCCCTCATAGATGCAATAACCATTGTAAGAGATGATGTAAATGTGATCAAACAGATTGAAAACACGAGCCGACGGCTGATGGATCGTGCACACAACACCGGTTGGATAGTGCGGATCTTTGGTCAATCCTTGCATAACCGAAACGGTCTGAAAGCAAGCTGAACTGTCCAAACCACTGGTTGGTTCATCCAAAATCAGTATGTTGGGTCTGACAAAGTGAAATTCATATCGATAATCGAATGATGTGAATATTATATGATTATTACTTACTTGGATATCATTTCGACGCCGATTGAAATGCGTTTTTTCTGGCCACCCGAACAATTGGCAGCTTTAGTGTCGGTACAAACATCCAATCCAAGTCGGTGGATAACATTGAGGGCCAGCTGATGATGATAATTGCTTGACTTTCTTCGTCGCGGCTCAATCAGTGTGTTTTTCGAGCCATTGTGATCATTCGTTTCGGCACTATTTCCACCGATTTGACCGTCGCTTACTGTTGCCACCACTTGTTCCAATTGCTGTTCCTGTTCGATCGGTATCTGCCGAGCGTGATTTTTGAGTCGTGATGCATAGACCAACATCTCACGAACGGTGAACGCCTCGATCAGATAGTCAGTTTGTGATATGAGTGCTACTCGAACATTGTCGAGACCATGGTCAGACTGATCGCAGGCCACAGTCACATTGCCCGACAATCCTTTTTTCCGAAATCCAACGATACATTCGAGCATTGTAGATTTTCCTGATCCAGAAGGGCCCATAACAGCGGTAAGATGGCCACTTCTGAATCTGCCGCTTATTCCTTTTAGTATGGTTCGCTTCTGGCTGGTCATTGGTGAGCCACCATGGAAACAATTGGAGAGATTCAATTGTTTCCTCTGGACTGAGTAGACCAGATTACGCCACATGACCGTTATGACACCATCGCTTGAATCATTTATGGATGAATCGAGATGACTTTGCCGGAAAAGACTGGGCGCAGTTTTTGATTGAGCCGAAAGCTGTTGATTGTTAGCGATTTGGATGTTTATCTGGCGATTGCCAGTGACTGGATTACTCACAATGGATTCAGCATCCACATCATGTTCCATCATGACGGATTGTTCATCCACTTGAGCCATTATAATTTGAATGATGGCGTTTTTTCAACAATGAATTTTCATTGTAGATGATTTTATTTTAAACTTGATTTTAAATTTTTCAAGGTTTTTTATTTTATAATGATACCATGGATACTAAAGATCGATCAATTGGTGTGTTTGTTGTGTAAAAAATTGTGACTATTATTGATCAATGGTCACTTGGAAACCATTCATTCTTCGTTCGAAAAAACACACAGTGAACAAACCAAAAACGTGAACATTTAGAGAAAAAAATTTGATCAAAATCATTATCTAATAATATAATGAGAACTGAATACCTTAGCCATATGATATATGATATTATTACGAATCATCATCATCATTATCATTAACCAGATCGATAGAGATCGATCGATTCATCAACAGAAATTTAAAAAATTTTAGTTACCACTAATTATTCTATTCTAAACACAATTGATTAATTAACAGGAATCTTGGACTACAGATGGCACCACAAGAGTAAGATTTGGCAAATGTTACGTATTATGAAAACAAAAACCAAATTGGGTTATCATCATCATCATCATCATGATTTTTTTTATGAGTGTTGATTTTTCCTTCTCCAAAATAATAAAAACATTTTTTCCATTGGTGATTTGGAATCCTTCAAAATATGGTTGTGATTCGGGTGTGGTTGATAATGAGTGGAGGACAATAAAATTTTTTCTGTTTTATGATCATCATCATCATTCTCGAATGAAATTGAAATTGATTTTCATAGATATTCTATATTTAAAAATATCAACAATAATAATCGCCAACAAGTATTATGGATATCGATAATGATCATCGTGTTCTTTCGATCCAAAGTCATGTTGTATCGGGCTATTGTGGTAATAAATCCGCTGTATTTCCATTACAAACACTTGGATTCGATGTTGATTTCATTAATTCAGTTCAATTCAGCACTCATACTGGTTATCCACGATGGACTGGACAAGTATTAAATGAACAAGATATTTTTGAATTAATCGACGGTCTTCGACATAATAATCTTCTTTGTAAATATACCCATTTATTATCCGGTTATGCTCGATCAGCTAGTTTTTTAGAAGCAATGCATTCGGCTATTAAAGAAATAAAATCCGTAGCTCCAAATGTTGTTTATCGTAAGTATTTATTTTTTTCAGAATAAATCAGAATCAAAAAAATTAAAATTTAAAAATTCATCATTTCAATAGTTTGCGATCCAGTACTTGGAGATGATGGCAGAATGGTAATTTGTTTTTTTATTTTTATTCCGATTCCATTTGAATATTTTTTTGTTGCTTCTTAGTATGTACCACATGAACTGCTTTCCGTTTATAAAGAAAAAATTATTCCATTGGCCGATATTATCTGTCCAAATCAATTCGAAGCCGAGTTTGTATCCTTTTCGTAATTCTGATTGATTTTTGATTGATTATTTTTTGGTCAAAATCAGATTATTAAGTGGAATTAAAATTACCGGAATGAAAACAGCATTAGAAGCTATCGATTATCTACATTCATTGGGTATTAAAACCGTTGTAATATCATCAACAGAGACAGGTTTCGACGATACAAACGAACAATTGATGACAATTGGTTCAAGTCAATTGCCCGGTGCCAATAATCAAGATCGTCAATTGTGTAAATTGGTTATACCAAGAATTCCGGCCCGTTTTACCGGTACTGGTGATTTATTTGCTGCATTATTTTTAGCTTGGTTTACAAAAACAAAATTTGATCTGAAAATAACAATGGAAAATGTGACGGCAACATTAAATTCGATTATTCGACGTACATATGAATATGCCAACAATAAGCCAAATGGATTAGAACTACCATTCAATCGTGAATTGCGAATCATTCAAAGTCGTGACGATATTCTTGAGCCAAAAATTCAAAATAGTGCCGAATTAATTTAATTTAATGAGAATTTTATTTTTCGAAACTTTTTTTTTCAATTATATTGATGTAATCAAGAACAAAAGTTTTTTTTTACAAATAAAAATTGCTTTTAATCATTTGCTTTGTTCCATACAAATCAAATGAGAATGATTATTTTACAAGTAAAAAATCTTCACATAATTCATTAAATTCTTCAGCATATCGTTGATGAATATTATGTTTACCTTTGGCAAATCGAAACAATGTTGCATTGGGAATATTATTGACCAGATAAAGTGGATGTTCACGTGCAAGCATTGGATCTTGATCACCATGTAATATTAACACTGGACATTCAATGCGTTTCAAGTCCATTTTACAAATATCACTTAATGTTAACATATGTGAAATGAAACGATCCCATAATTGATAGAAATGTTCATCACCATAAATCTCGATCATTGGTCGTCGCATTCTTTCTGACCACCCATTACGAGCATCACGAACTTTACGTAATAATTCTCGATCCTCTTCACATACATAAGCATTAGCACCCCATATGATTAATTTCTGTACGTTGTATGGATTAGCAGCGGCCAATATGATTCCGGTTATACCACCATCACTCCATCCAAGTATTGAATAGCTTTCATGATTCAATTTCTAAATAAATTGAAATTATTTACAATTTATTTCAAATTTAACATTTACAAAAATCAAAAATCAAACCTTCATCAATTTGGCTGCCATAATAGCATCACGTCTATAGAAATCTTCAAAATCACGTTCTGGTGGTCGACTTTGTCCATAACCTGGTGGATCCCAGGCAATAATTTTGAATTTTGATCCATCCAAACCGGTCAATTGTGGAAGAAAATCATTACGGCCAGTGCCTAATGCACCGGGCATTAATAATAGTACATGTTCACCTTGACCAGCACTTTCATAATGAATTTTATGGCCATCAATTTTGACATCATAACCGAATATTGGATTAGTCATTGGTTTATTTTTATGAGTATTATTCTGTTGTTGTTGTTGTTCATTAGTTGTTTCGTTCAAATTCTGATTAAATGATGTGGAAATCGGTCGATAATTATGTCTTTGAATTGGAAATTTCGGGCGATTTCGAATCAAATTATTATTATGACGATCCAATGTACTCGAAACTGAAATAGTAGATATTCGATTATTAATGGAGACATTTGGAGTGGATTTTTGAAAATGCTGTCGTAACAGCCATCCAAATCGATTACGGAATTGGCTCATTTTTTTGGAATGAAATCGCATTCACTTGATGATTAGATAAAAATCAATGATTTTTTCAGATGTACCACTTGGATATATGAAAGTAGTTGGCCCAAATCATTTTAGTGCTAAATGTCTTCAATCGTCATTCTCTTGCATAAATTGTAAATGGAAGAATCCATCAAAACTAATGGGTAGCAACGAATCATAATGCATTAAGCAAATCATGTCCAACTAATTGTGTTTTAACAAATAATATGAAAAAATGAATCGTTTATGGAAATAATTTCAAGATTGCAATTTTTCAGATTAAATAATTATTTTTTATTGGTTTTTCATTGTATATTATAGATTATCAATAATATAGATAGATAAATGATTAAATAATTCAATAATTTGTAACAGTCGTTTTATATAATTCCCGGTCTGGTCGGGTATCCGGGCTTCTGAAGGGGATATTTTCTGTTTACGAAGTTTATCCATCCTAATTAAAAAAGAAAAAATTGTCTAAGTTCGCGCCAACAAATTTTCCAAACTATCATGTTTGTCACAACCAAGTTAATATTGTTGGCTCAGTTGCAAGCTAATCGAATGGTCATTATGGCCTCGAGACATTTTACCCTTTCACCTTTCAAAATGTAAGCTATGCTCCGCCTTGTAAAATGGTTGTTTAACTTTAACAGTTCATTTTGATGGTTATCAAAATGAACAAACATGCTTGCAAGCATTTTGCTTGACGGTTGGAAAAAATATTTTACATTTGGTCTTTGTGCAAAAATGCTCGTTTTTTTCTCAAGCTTCGTCACTCGTCTTGTTCATTTTTTCATTGCTGATTTCGGACAATTTTTGGTGAAATGATCATGAAATTCTCAATTTTATCGGGTTATAATGATTATTTGGTACTGACTTTGTTCCATCACAAATGTTAACCAATATTTTGGGTATGTCTCATTTTATGATATTTCACTAACTTTCCATTTCTAGTTTTACTGATTTCTCATTGACATGAGAAAAATTCATAGCTATTTGGTAAGTTTGGTTATTATACTTGATAACGTTATGTTTTTATGTTTGTTTCTGAAATTCGATTTTTCATCATGTTAGAATTCATCAATATATATTGGAAACGACATCTATGAATGAAATTCTTGAAATAAAATTTTAGAAAAAATTAATTTAATATTAATTTTGAATAAAATTTTTAATCCTAATATGGGGGTAAAATTAATGAAGTGAATGGGGGCAAAATGAATTCAAATTTGAGGGTTTCACAACTGAATTTATTGTGACAATTTTGCCCGCTTATTTTTTGTTTAATATTTGATTAATTAAGATAATGAATAATAAACCACGAGGTCGAAGTAATAAGCGGCAAAAATTATCATGTGCTAGACCGGTGATCAATTCAGCTGAACATTTACTTTGGGAAGAATTCAATCACGAAGATGATGGTGATGTATTCGAATTCGATGATGAAATCGATGTAAACAATGACAGCAGAGCGGATAAATCATACGATGTCAAAGATATCTATCATGATTATCTACATACGAAACGATTAAAATTTGATGATTATTGTGCCGAACAACGTGAATATCTTCGACGACTTCGTCAACGTTGTCTTGAAATTCAACAAAAACGTGGTTGTCGATTTCATATCGATCCACCTGTTAATCGTTTTGCAGACATTCCTATGGGCGATCCAAAGTGGCGTATATGTGATCCAGAATCATTGCCACCTGTCGTCGATTATACAGCCGAAGTTTGGCAACATTTTAATCGTTTTTATTTCGAACCTGAACAATCTGATTTGTCTACTTTGTTCAAAGGTGTTTGTATATTCGTTAATGGTTACACAAATCCTATTGCATCACATCTTCATACTTTGATGCTGTTCACTGGTGGTCATTATACGTTGATTTTCGATAGACATCGTACAACACATACGATCGCTACAATCTTGTCATCGGCACAAATGAAATCTGAACGTACACGAAATACAACTGTTCGACCGGAATGGATAATCGAATCACTACGTGCACGAAAACTATTACCATTACATGAATTTCTTGTTCATCAAAATTTGCAGGATATTCGTGGAACATTCGCACGGATTACTCGTCAATTGGAACAACAACAGCAGCAACAGGAAGAAAAAGTGAAAAAATATCGATCATCAAATCCAATAATTGGCATTAAAAATGGTTTGATGAATTTAACGTATGAAACATATGAAGTTGATTCAAATGAAGATTTTGAACCGAATCTTTTAAAATTATTGAATGAACTGGATAATGATAAACATAGTACGCCTATTTCTAAACGTTCACGTACATCGTCATCGATTGGTGAACCTGGACCATCAACGTCAGTAGCTGATCTACCGTGCCAAACACAGGCGATGGTACCATTGACATTTAATACATCGGATTATATGCCCGGTTCTACACAGGAATTGGATTCAGGTTTACTAAATGAATTACCCGATGACATACGTAAAGAAGTCATTGGTTATGCTCGTAATAAACAACAGCAAAACAATCAACCTAAAACAACCATCACAAAAATATCCAATAAACCGGCGAAAACAGCTGTGAAAAATTCAAAACCAACGAAAAAAGCTATTGAAAATGATAATGTAAATCGTGCTAGCGATCTTTTTTTTGGCCGTATTGTTGGCATGAAAGCTAACATTTGTGGTAAAACTAACTTACAAGATGTTGGCCTATTAATTGACGAATGGATCTGTACCACAACTGAAGAGCTGAATGATATGGACATTTTATATGTAATTCGATTTTTGCTTGAATTAGCCGATGAAAAACGTTATGATGATCTTATACAGATATTATATGATATGAAAGAATGTATTCAACAAAATTGTAATCCTGAACAACCAAGTTATCAAGAATGGCAATTTTTTTTCACTGGTACATTATGTACGGTTCTTATGCAAGAATCATCTATACCCGAAGGATTTTTAACCGAATCATTGTTTACAATGAAAAATTGAAATTTTTTTATTTTTTCAAATTCTAAAATAAAGCGCCCTCTGTGATCAAAAGTTGACGAATCTTTTGACTCAATCAATGTGTGTGTGTGTGTGTGTTTATATTTGCACACAAACATGAATCCAATCCGGTTGATTTAGGTTTTGTTGTCGCGTCAGCATTTAAAGTTGAAAAAAAAAGAAATTCTTGTTGTAGTTGTTTTCGAATTTTTTCTTTTTATTTAGTTGCAAAAAAAAAATTTAGGTGTTTTAAAATTTGATATTGAAAATTTCATTTACTGCCTTCTAGTTCCAAAAAAAATGTCTGACGCTGAAATGATTGAAATCAAACCATTGGATAAATGGGACGGTTCGGCCATCAAAAATCGTTTGGATGATGCTGTTAAATTTTTTTTCACACATACAAATCAATATAAAGAAAATTTCATTCTTATCGATATTCGTTTGGGCATCAGTTTGATGGCTGTTGGTGTGGCCGTATTTGCACTCATCTGGGATTATATGAATCCATTTCCAACATCAAGGCCAATACTGTTGATTTGTGTTTGTGCCTATTTTGTATTCATGGCAATATTGACCATTTATACGACCATGATTGAAAAAGGAATATTTTTGAAAGCCAAACATGGAAATAAGGTAAATAAATTCGATTATAAAATTTTGTGTTTATCACTCATTTTCGTCATTTTATCTTATATAGTCAATTACCGTATCATCATATATGAAACGTTTTGATGATCAATATCAATTGTTGGTTGAATTGAAAACAAACAAAAATGGTGGCCAACCAAATGAATCAAAACTAGAAGATACAATTGGTAAATGGATCGATGAAGAAGGATATTTTCTTGAACGAAAATTCGAAGATGATCTAAAGCGTTTATATTCACGTATGTTGAATAAAAAGATCAACTAAAAAAAAATGCAATGATTTTTTTTCTGGACCAAAATTTATTGTGTGGTGATTGGCCGCCCCTCATATTTATCATTATTCGTTATCATTCAAAATACACCACCAACAGGCTTTAAAGGTCTGAAAAATTCAAAAAAAAAAAAATTAAAAAATTTTATTCGTACAAGCACCACCAACAGGCCATTTTTGTTTAGGTCTTGATTTGTTTTGTTTTAATTTCGTTGAATCATACCAAAATGCAAAATACGTACATCACGACTGAATCATCGAAGCAGATTTTTTTATTTGTAAAATTGATTTTTTCTCTCTCTCTCGTCCAATTGGACATTTTCGTATAAATGAATGAATAAATAAATCACTTTTTTCTTGTTTTTCAATGTTTCATTTTTTTACATTTGTCGAATTAAAATCCATTCGAATACTTTGTTTATGGATGGTCATTTCTTGATTTGTTTTTGTTTTAATTTCGTTATAAATTCAATAATACCATGGATCAAGATGGTTCATCAGATGATCATGTAAAAAATCTTGTTAAACGATTTCAAGCTGAACAACTTCCATCAGAAGTGATTGATGTTTTGTTGATTTTTTTCAATAGTCATAACAAGAATGACATCACGACTGAATCATCGTCATCGTCGAATGTGATTGAGAATGACATTGAACAACCAACAAAATCAACAATCATCAAACAAGATAAAGTGCAAATACAATCAATTGTTGATCAAACATTGACAATACCAGAATATTTTGATCATTGTGTCGAATTTTATGATGGCTATTTTCATGATAATGGTGGCTGTGGCTGTTCGAAACAATGTCATCGAAAATTTTCTAAATCCATTGCATTTAAATCACATTTGGATGCAATGGCATTGGATAAATATTGTCCCGATCATGTTAATCACCAGCATTTATTGCTTCTAGGAGCAATGAATAGCCTTGTACAAAGTAATGTTGATTCGAAACGAAAACGTAAAAAAACAAAAACAGACCACCATTCTGATGATGATCAATCCGCCAACAATTCTCGAGCACATACAAATTTTAAATTTCGTGGCCAAGAAGTATGTCGATCATTTTTCCACTATGTTTTTGGTTGTGGTAATAAACGTTTTAAAAATGTACTTAAACATTTCATATCGAATGGAATCGATTCACCAAGACATGAATCTATTTATAATAATTGTCTGAATAAAATACCAATGAATCGTCGTCAACGTGAAGCATTGATATTCATACAGAATTATGGCCAACAAAATTCATTGCAAATACCCGGCTGTTTTAGCACTGAATCAAATAATAATAAAGATTTATATCTATTGCCAAATAATCCTAATCAATCACGACGTCATATCTATGAACAATATTCGATTACATGTTCGGAATTGAAAATGGAACCATTATCATTTGCATTATGGCAAGAATTATGGAATCTTTATTATCCTAATATTCAAACATTTAATGATAGATTTGATCCATGTTATGAATGTCGTCAATATCAACAACGTTTAATTCGTATTGATTCAATGGAATCATCAAAAGTTGAATTGTTACAAAAATATCTTTCACATTTGAATATGATTCAACCAGAATTGAATCATTTTCAATCAATCATAGCCAAATGTCAAACTGTTTATGATGAATATGTTCAAAATGCACAAAATGATTTTAGTCAAAATTTGAAAGAATCATTTCGATCAACATTAAAATCAATGCATTATACATTCGGTTGGTATACGACCATTTCGTTACCATTTTATCCACAGAATCCAAGAATTTATTTCAAACATGGTTACAAAGTAGCCATGTTTGGTATTGTAGTCGAACCATTGAGGAAATTTATCTTGTACATTGTGCCAGAATTTATTTGTCATCAAACAACCAACCTGATAAACATTAGTCTTTCATTGTTACATCATTTTTTCTCTACATATCTATTTGGTGAACAAGAATCTATAATTCATTTGGCAAATGGTCAACTAAATCAAATGAAAAATTCTTCATTATTATCATATTTAATGTGGCGAACATTGATTGGTAAACATGATAAATTTAAAGTTTCCACACTTCCTATAGGTCATTCATATTGTTGGAATGATTTATTCATGGGTGTATTGAAGAAAAAATTTCGAAATTGTCGATTGAATTCATTATCCGATCTGAAAATGCTTGCCGATCGTTGCTGTTTGAATGTTGCCGGCACTAATAATGATGATGATCGTTATATACAAACCTATCTTGTCGGTAATGATCAAGGACAAACTACGTTAGATCTTTATGATTGGACATTGAAATTGGCTATGATACAGAAAATCGATACAACAGTATTAAGTGATAATAATCATTTTGAAATTGGAATAGATTTACCTGGATTTGTTTTGTGTCGAAAAACATTGAATTCGAATGAGACAATCGTTTCTTATCGTTTAATAGCAAATGAATGTCTGTCCTTGATAAATGAAAATCTACCACAACGATTAGAATTACAACCATTATCATCGGAAAGATTTTCTTATCTATACGATGCTATCAGACCATTTGTATTGGATAAAGATTCGATTATCTGGAAAATGTATCCCAATGATCAACTACCGAAAGATTTGGATATGGAATCAATTTCAGATGGCACTGGTCAACCTGATGATCCTCAAGTGTTAGAACAACAACAATCGAATAAAAAATTTCGTTGTAGTTATTGTAAACAATTTGGACATCGTGAAATGGTATTCGGCAGAATTCGTTGTCCAGTCAAACGAAATGATTCTAATCTATTCAATTTACAAGAACGGCCACAAGATGTTGCCACCACTGCAACGAATAATTCAACAACAATGATTGAATCGACATCCAATGATAATGAAGGACTGAATGATGATCAAACAAAACAATTATTGGCAATATTGGAAATGAATGGACAAAATTTACAAGTCGATGATGATGGTGATGATGCTGATGTTGAAAATGATTAGAAATGTAACATTATGTGATAATAAGTGACAAATGTTTCAATTTAGCCTAATTGGAGAAAAGAAAAAAAATCAAAAGTCTGTCTTGTTGTTGGTGGTGGTGTGTTGGTAAAAAATGGTTCCAAGGGGGTTCGAATCCAGCCGAAATAAAATGATGAAATTTTACTTTGTTCATTCGCGGTTTCCACCAGAGAACGATTTATTGTTGTTCAAAGATGGCCCGAGCAAAGTCTGATATTTCGGCAATTTTTTTTTAAAAGAAATTTTATTTTTTTTGTATAGAAATTCAATTTATTAATGAAGAAAAAAAAATTTGACAAATTACAAAATTCACTTGTTCATAACATTATTGATACGATTGAATAGCATTACTTTCATTGTTTGTGACATTAATCCATGAATAACTTCGATGGTTGTTTTGGATGCATCTTTTTCTGCTTTAGTAAGACGATCTTCTGATCGGCGGCCACTGCTAGCTGAACCAGTAATACTACTACCATTCGAATCATGTGTATCTGTATGAACAATTTGTATCGGGAATTGGCCACGACCACCAATCTGTTGGGTATTTTCTAATTTTTCGGCCAAATCTTGTATCTGTCGTACATGATAATCATGACTGGTGATCAATGATGATGAACTCAATGTGTTGACCCAATATTTATTCCATAATGAATCAAGAATACGATTATCTAATGATGATTTAAAATATGATACTTCCAATGAATAATAATGTTTACAATGGACACCAAAATCTTCTATCTTATTCAATGGTATTGATTGATATTCTTCTGGACCTTCATCCGGTGGTTTATAACCTTTCGGGTAGGTACGAAATGCACCCAAACAAACTTTACCAGCAGACATTGTACGGATTGGATCAATAACGATGGCAACAAATGGTTCCTGAAATTGTTGATTCAACATTTGTGTGGAAACATCGATACCACTAAGCCAACAACCATAACCAGGATGTGAATGATACCAACCGATAACATTTTCAAGACGTCCAACCTGTTTAGCCGATTCAGTATATTCAGCCATATATTCATAAGCTTGTGCTTGGGCATTTACACGAGTTTCGGTTCCCTCAACAGGCAATGCAAATGCATCCATCACAATCAATGTATTGGCATCGACTTTTCCCAACATAAGGCCCATTACTTCGATTGAACCACCTGAACGAGCATGCATAACCATCTTTAACAATGCTAATGCTGATATTTTGATATCTTTGAAATAATGTGGACTGTGTTTAGACAGAAAAAAAACAAAAATGAATCCAATCAATCAATTTGAAAAAATTTCGAAAAAAACAAACTTACTCTTTATCCCATGGTTTAGCCGACAATATATCTTGTTGTTGTTCACGATTATATTTATAAATTTCATCAATACCACCATTTATTGTTTCAATTTGATTGGAAAGTTCCCATGTTTTCAATGCTATTTGACCAGACATGTTGTAATAATAATTTTATTTCAATCATGAAATTTTGAATATATAAAAATTAAGAACATAACACACACACACACAATAGCAACAATCACCCATTCACGGATATTTTCGGAAAGTTTCTCATTCGGTAGACACAAAGATTTTTTGGGAAAATTTTTTTTAAAAATCAAATTTTATTTTTTTTTTCGTTTCAAAGAAAAATTTTAAATTTAAATAAAATTATTAAATTCGTTTTTTTCTGTTTAAAAAAATGATGATGAAATTTTTTTTCCTGTTGCAATTTATGCATTGAATATTTGACACTACAATTGAATAATATATATCTAATGTACGGATTGATTATAAGCAATCATGTATTGGATTAATGTATCCTGTATTTTTGACATATTCAATGAACATTGTTTCAATGTTTCATGTAATTGTTTCCATTGTGTACGGCCAAATGTACGATGCATTGTTAATGATACAATAACTTTTTGATTCGATTGATCAATATGTGCTTTGACCAATTTTGTTTTCAATACATCAATGATGAAAAATTCCACCTGATCCGATGTTAGTTGTAGTTCTTTTTGTATGTCCACAAAATTTAATTCTTTTTTCATTTCGGCCATCTGCATAAATGTTAGTAGACGCATTTTTTGCATATTTGCATCATGCGATAGATTCAATGTGTCGGTTATATAACTGGCATGTGATTTATAAAAATCAACATATGCCGATAGATTTTCTGTGACAAAAATGGTCAACAATTCATAGATTGGTTCACCTTCCAAAAATTTCACTGGTTTCAATGTAAGTAAATAATCCATTAGAAATGTATTTGGATCAGCAATAGCCGATACAATACATTTATGTGCATCTTCACGTGCCTGTGATGCATTCTCTTCGGTATATGTTGTCAATAATTCTACCATTACTTTAGCGGCCATATCGGGTAGTTTATTTGTCTGCAAAATTGAATGCAATAAACGTAATAGAAATTGAATTTTTTCACCACCAAATTCTTCAACTGGGAACCATTTTTTGAATTGTGGCAAATGATTATAGATAAGCCGTACTTGGCCACTCAATTCACATAATTGAATCAATGCCAAATAGATACGATAACGATGTGGAGTATGGATGAAACCGTTGAATAAATTTTGTAATACACGGAATGCAGTGGAAGCCGTTTTCGGTGTTGGTGCTTTGATCAATTGATCACAAAATGATGCCAATAATGCTGGAGCTTCTGGTTGATTGGCGCCCACTTGCAATAGAACCGAAACAATCGAATTCAATACCATTTCAATTTCATTTTCTTTTTCCACTTTGAATACAATATCACAAACCGAAATGATTTGCTGTAGATCAATAATATAATTATCCGATGCTGTACGTGCAATCGGTGCACCTAATTCAAGCATATATTCACGAAGCTCTTCACATTGAGCTTTTTCATTGATACAGATGAATGCTTCGACACGCATTTTTTTCCTAATTCAATAATAATTATTTTTAATCGATAAACGATCCAGAAACAATGAAATAATCGTGGGGAACAAAAAAAAAATAGGAAGTTTCAACACAATCGATCGATGACACGTGGATTCACATACACACACACACAAAAACGCTGCTCAGGTCATAGATTTTATGAATAAACAAAAATTATAGAAGCCGATAGATGGCAGTATATATAGTAATATTATATTTGAATTTTAAATTCGAATTTTGGCGGATTCAAAAAATTTATTTATTACTTTTCTGGAAAAAAAGGAAACAAAACAGGATTATCAATTGTTTGAGAATGTTGTTTTATAAATAAATGAATTGTGTATTTTGCCAGCACATTATTATATAATCGAATGGAATGAAATGTGTGAAAGACAATTGTTTTTTTTGCTGTTGTTTGGTTTTTTTTTTTAATTTCACAGTATATATTTACTACAGGTGATACATTGTCGGATGTTATTTATACATAAAATGCTGATTCTATCCATATATAAATATACGTTATTATAAATGTGGTATTCATGATAAATGATGGGGTAGTCATGGAATGTTTGTGTTTCAGTGATTATCATCATTAAAATATAGCAGCAGCAACAAAGAATGAATATTAAAGAAATTTTTTTTTTTTTTTTGAAAATGAATGTCTCATATATTATGCATTAAAATGAAATATGGAATAGAATTGGATTCATTTTGAATTGAATGCAGTGTAGTGGAATGGTGCTGTGGTTGCATGGTGAAATTTTTGTTTCTTCGAAAATCTTTGCCGGCCTGGTCACTTTTTTTTTCTTAAGTTAATATTTTTTTTTTGATTGATTGATTGATTGATTGATTGAAATTAAACTTCTTGAAAACACTCCTAAACATACGAACACAGACACACACACACACACACACTTACAAATGTCCACTATATATAGAATCGATGATGATGTAATAGATATCATCTTCTTGTATTGGAATTTTTTTTTCTACATAAATCTGATTGAAAAAAAAATTGCTGAAAAATTTCCCGTTTTTTTTCTTCTTCTTCTTCTTCTTTTTGTTTCAGATCCGAAATTTTTTGTGTGTTGTTTCATTGCAAATCATCACGAAACATATAGGTAATCCAATAGACACAATTGAAAAGGGCAAACATGAATGGAAAAAATATTCGTGATACAACATCAATACGTTTGGAACGTGTTGGAAATTTTGATAGCCATCGTTTACACCAATTTTTACGTCTTGGTGGTGCCATATGTATTTCACATCCTGGACGCTGTTTATTTGGAAACAAAAAGAATTGTTGTAATTGTGTGGAAAAAATAATTATTGATTGAAAAAAAGTGATAATTACTTACCAATCCATATGAAGCTAATTCAATATTATTACCCTCTAATAATGCCTGTTCCATATTCCATTTGGCAAGACGTTGTCTTTGTTGTTTAGCTGCTGCATGATGTACATCACTACGTGATGCATAATTAACTAATGCAAATTCCAATAATGCACCAAATACAAATGTTAAACAAACACCGGTCCAAACATCGATTGCTTTTGTATAGCTAACAGGTGGTTGACTGGCATTTATACCGCTTATCTGTGTGGCCATCGATAATAATGTTGTAACACCTAATGATACACGTGCAACCGTTGCATTTGGATCCAACCAAAATGATACCCATGATACAAATATTAACATTGCACATGGTATATAAATTTGAATTAAATAATAACTGAATTCACGTTTAAATAATAGATTCACTTGAAGACAACTATATTCGCCTATTCATATCGAAAATGATCAAATTGAATTAAATTAAATGAAACATCATAATCAATTCATATAAACAATCATATCATACCAGTATTTGTTCTTGAAGTACAATATTTTGTAGTATAATCTTTCAATGTAAAACGTGGAAGATTTATATCGCCAGATACTTGTACTGGATTCTTTTCTTTCCATGTGAATACCAAATCTTCGGTACTATATGCATCTATATGAATGATGAACAAAACAAAATTGAAATTCACTAATAATGGAAATAAACACAAAACACAACATACAGCTAGCCATTGCAATTGAACAAGTTTGTCTATCTAATGGATAATATTTAAGATCCATTGGACATGCTAATGTTAATGATAAACGTATTGAATATAAAATATCTCCATTTGGATAAATACGAAGCAATATATTGGGCATAATAATCTCATGGAAATGTCCTTTTTTTTCATTCTTAAAAAAAAGATCTGGTTTCCAAATACGTTCCGGATCTGTAAGTACTAGATATTTTATTTGACCATTTTTATCATCAAATTTAAGACGATTATCGTTCCATTGTTGACGGAATGTTACTTGACAGGCATATTCCTATAGATAAAAAGAGAGAGAGAGAGAGATAGATAATTGAATTAAAATTAATTATTATTATGATCATAATCTGATGATGATGAACTGAAAGTTGAAATCAAATCATGAATAATTCAATTGATTAATTAATCATCATCATCATCATCATGTTAATTATATTTGTAAACGTAGAATTATCATAAGAAGATTATCACAGAAACAAGACACACACACACACAGATTACATTGATGGTTTTAGTCAGGTCAAAAATCTTAAAGATGATGATCGGTGATCCAGATCATTGAATCATTTGTAAATTTTTTCAGATTTTTTAGCTCTTTTCAAAAAATTTATTCAACCTGTAACATCAACAGCTGCTTGTCTGTCTGTCTGTCTGTCGGTGTTCGATTCGAACGTTTTTCGAAATAATGAAATGTATTGATGATTCACAATATCGAATTGAAATGATCAAAGCTTCGATGTTTTTTTTTTTTTGATGCTGATGATGATGGGCAGCCATGTTTTATTCGATTATAACAACAACAACAACAACAACAACAAAAATCAGTTATTGATCATCATGTGGTGGTCTCATGCCAAAGTTATCCACACAAACGACGACGACGATGATGAAACAAATTAATTCAATTGTAAAAAACAACAAAACTCAACAATTGACACACCCATCATAACATCGATATAATAATCGATTCAACAACAACAACAACAAACAAAATGAAAAGTTGACGGAAATCAATACCGAAATAATGATAAACAAAACAAGAAAAAATTTTCATTTTCTTTTCATCTGATTAAAAAAAAAAAAATCACCGTCAATCAACTGTCACTGTCATCATCATCATCATCATATAGAGATGTTATCATCATCATCACACCAAAGTAAAGTTCATTGTTAATTGTTAACAACAACAACAACAAAAATCGATATAATAAATTGTTACCAACAAATGTAAAATGTTCCTTTTTTACATGTGATGATCATCATTGAATCCATAGAAAAAAAAAACTTCCGCGTTCCATATGAGCAATCGTGAAATTTTTCCTTTGGTAAAACATCAGACTAAAAATGTCATAACGTAAGTGTGTTTGTATTTGTATATAATATACAACAACAACAAGTAAACTGAATGAATGACACGAGCCCTGAATGCTCGTATTCGATTTTGATATAAAGAATTGTGGAAAAAAAAATTTTTCCTGCATTATTTGGTCAACAAACACACACAATGACAACTTAATGTGTTTTGAGGCTAAACATAATAAAAAAAAACAAATTAAATAGAAATCATTCAAACATGAAACACACACACAGAGTGCAATATCATCATCCTGTTTTTTTTATGGATTTTTTTTTCATTGCTCATAAATCATGCAACGAAAAAACTTTCGTTACAATTTATGAAATTTTTCATCGTTTTTTTTGTTGCAAAACAAAACTTTTCCTATCTGATGATGAAATTTTCTGTCTGATCCATTTGATTTTGGTTTGGTTTGGATTTTGATTAAAATTTCAATTTGAAATTGAAATTGAAATTGAAATTCATCCACCACCATGATCACCATACTATGACCAGATATTATTATTATTATTATTAGATTGAATTCATTGTTAGCGTGAGAAAAAATATTAGACAACCACAACAACAAATAACAACAACAACAACAATCATCGCGAATAATCGTCATTATTCAAATTTAACACAATCAAAAAAATTCTTTCAGTACACATACAAAAGCCAAAATAAAAAAATTCAAATTTTTTTTTTCACCATATATAAATGAATGAATAATTTGACAAGCGGCTAGTAAAATAAAAAAAGTGGTCAACATGTGTGTGTGTGTGTGTGTGTGTGTGTCATTCATCAGGTCAAAGGAGATGGCAATATATGTGGCACACAAATACCGGTCGCTGATCTATAAAAAATATATGAATGATAATCATCATCATCATCATTTTTTTTCAGAAGATGTCATGTCGAATATATGTGTGAAATTTGGACTAAAAATGAACAAAAAAAAATCATCCATTAAATGATTATTATTTGGTTATTACAGGGTCTTTAGGTCAATCATCATCATCATTATCATAATCAATGATTTTATTAACACCTTGTTGTCAAATGAAAACCTCATCATAGTGTCTCTCTATTCAACCATGTATAATGAAAAAACAAAACAAAAAAGAAAAAGATTCATCATCATTATCAAGATAGGAGGTGTGTGTGTAATTATAGATTATTTATATTTTTCTGTTCTTGATCATCATCATCATCATCATAATGATTATTATTAAGATGATGATGGTGTGAACATTTGAACAATTTTTTATTTTTTGCATCATTTATTTTACAAGTAGCTAAAGATGATAATGATGATGATGATAATGCATGATAATAATAATATCCGGCTAATCTTCATATAACATAATGTCTAGTCTTCATTTTTGTCTTTAATTTTGTCTCTGTTGAATGGATGTTTTGGAAACTTTAGAAGTGGCCAATTTCTTATAATTATGTTCATGTACAAAACATGTTTGTTTTTTTCTTTTTCCATATATTATTATATCATTGGAAAAATCAAAAAATCGATATTTTGATTGGAAATTATCAAAATTAGATATTGTATTGATGATGTATTGATAGAGAAAATCTATCTTTGGAAATTTGATTTTTTTTTATTTTAAAAATTCAAATTTGATAACAATAAATGGATTGATTGATGATGAAAATATGGATATATGATTGATCTATTCATTCAATTCATGCAATTGATAGCCATCGGCCATTTTGATGATTATATCGAATCAATGGAAACGGAGGTTTGGTCGATTCAAATTTGTTTTTTTTTTTGAAATTTTGAATTTTTAAATCGATCCATGGACTTAATGATTTAGAAAAACCGGTTGATTTTATTAGATCATCAACAGTGTACATGGATATTTCAAATTGAAATTTTTTTTTTCATCAAAAAAAAAATTAATTCCACCTACGCACAACGAACGTAACCACCACCACCACCTTGACAACGATGATGATGGTGGTGGTGGAATTAAACCATATATACACACACATCGTTTTGTAGACATTATGGATCATATCAGTTAATTAGAGCAAAAACACCGTCACACTTGGATGTGCGGATGATTAATTGTCAAACAAAACAACAAAAAAAATTTTAAATCATAATCATCGTTGATGATTGATGATTTATGGACTGGAAAAAAAATTAAATACCAATAGTGTGAAAACATGGAACAAAACCACCCTGTATATGTGTGTGATATATAGAAACTGGCTATTTACATTAATTAGGTTACAATTAAAGGTCAAAATAGACTAAAATTCGAATGTTGACACGAAAATTCCATTCAAGAACATTTTTTTCTGATGATTATAATCCAATGATAATCAACCGATATTCAAATGATAATTATCATCAATACAAACAAACAATTAAACCTTTGGATTCCCTTCTCATTTGTGTTTTGTTCTCTTCATTTTTTTTGTGACGAAAAAAGAATAATGTTTCCAATTAAAGATTTTTGACTCTTTTGGAATGAGAAATTGATCTGTGAAATAGCTTCCATATTCAAAAGAGAAAATCCAACAGGTAAGTTCTTAAGAAATGGCTGTTGTTTTCTCTTTCATTCATATTTTCAGATCATCATCATCATCATCATCGTCATCATCATGATATATCAAGACGTTGAAACAGACATTGATCGTCATCTGTATACATGACTTCACTTCGACAACAACAACAACAACAACAACAACAACGACACAGTCAAACCCTGAAATATTTCTTCAGGATTAACAGTGTGTGTTATGATTATAATAATAATTTTTAATCGTCAAATTTCAAACGATGACAATTTCATTTTTTTTCCTCGTCAGATGTTTAAATTGTGACGATCAGGAATGATTTGACAAAATTTTCCATTTCAAAAATTTTTTTTACCTTGAAATTTTTTTTTTTTTTCACCTATATTTTTTTTTCATTTCTGATCTAAATGTTTTTATGTGCATCATCTGCAATTTTGTTTTTTGAATACATCGACCACCACCACCAAATATACACCTTTCGAGGTAAGTACTAAATTCAATCCATTTAAATGAACTAAAATTTATTTATCGAACCAATGATGATGATAGCCATCAATTATAAGTAAGTTTTTTTTCCCGGAAAATTTTCCTACTGAATGTTGATGGATGAAAACATGAAAAAAAAATTTTCATAAGGAAATCAAAATGAAAAAAAATGAAAAATTATGATCAATCATTTCATTCATCCAAAAAAAAAAAATATCTAGATATTCATGATGATATTTTTAATTTGTTGTCAATAATCCATAGATTAAATGAAATTTCATTTTTGTTATTTGGGCCAAATTTTCTTCAAAATCGATTGATGTCGTCATTCATAATCATTCATTTTCTATGATATTGATTGAATGAATGCAACTGAATGAAATGAAATCAGAAATGATTGACAATCGATAAACAGTTTCTTTTGGAATCAATTTTTCTTTGAAAATTATCCTGAAAAAAATTATCCCGAAACAAAACCCCGAAAAAAAATTACCCCGATCCAACATCCTTCAACTTTATGTCCAATTTTATACATGATAATTTTTTCAAAATTTATCAAATGGGGCTTCTTCTTCTTCTGAAACATTCATTGAGACAATATGTATAACTGATTATCATCGAATCGAATTCATATCTAATGATTATATGAATTTTATATTGTGCGGCGATTAAATCAACCGAATCATTCAACGTTTGTTTTAGGATTTCTTTGGAATTAATTTGTTTTTATTTTCATTTATCAATTCAATGATGATGATGATGATGACAAAAATAGCAAATAATCAAGCAGGGAAAAAAACTGATAACCAGTAGCCTTGATTCGAACAATGTCCTCGTATATAATTCAGCCATTTCATATATTATATTAGATTGAATCTTTAAATGAAAATTTTTCGCCCAAATGGTAA